CGTCTTGCGAGGCACCACTGTACGGTTTTAACAATGAGTCTGTAAGTGACTGTGAAGGCCAATTCTGGACCCACACATCATTCCACAGTGGAGACATTGGTTTCTGGGCGGGAGTTGATCACGGTGTGGATTTGCCAGGCGTGCCTTCCTCTTAGCACGTTTCTCCCTTGCGTCCTGAGTTTGAGTGTCTTCAATGCCCATGACACCTTTGGTAAAGGCTGTTCTCCAACTGGAGCGCTCGCAGGCCAGTGTTTCCCAGTTGTCTGTGTTTATACTACATCTTTTAGATTTGCCTTGATACAACCACCCACACACACATCTTACCAGGTTGTCCCAGCCACTCTTAGCAGCTTCCAACACATATAAAAATGTAATAAAACATTAAACATGTTAAAAACTTCCCTATTCAGGATTGCCTTCAGACGGCTCGGGGGTCAGATAACTACATACCCTCCAACATCCTAAAGAAATAGGCACATCCTAAGGAAAAGCGAGACATTCTGGGATCAAATCAGAAGCCAGGATGGCTTCTTGAAATCAGGAAAATAGGGACACTTGGAAGGTCTGAAAGTAATTCAAAGGAGCAGAATGACTTATACCTGTAAAAATATTTTGACTGCAATCATGAAACAATTTATATTACAATATTGTAATAATACACACTGGACAAGAAGCTTTTGATCTATCCGATTTCCATCCTATTCAAGGAAATCAGGGAAACACACATTAAATTATTTCATGTAGTCTTTCAAAAATCTTGAAAGGTAGGCAATGGTATGAGATGTGACTGGTACAAAGTCAGCATTTATGACTAATCAGGGATTCAAACTCAGGTCTCACTGATTCAAGCTTGCCAGATTTCACTCACACACAAACACACACACAAAGCTGTCTTATCACATACAGGTACACACTATGTGAAGGCAGGCAGGCTAGTAAAACATTGTGGGGCCTGGTAAGGTTTTTCTTGTTGCTAGTTACGTATAAGCAATATCTGATCCACATCTAGTGTTTGGTTTCAGTTCAGGGCACTGCATATGCCTTAAATAGACAAATGGTAACCCATTATTTCAGTGTGAGGAGACCATTAATGTTCTTTTGGGCAGCCATCCAAAATCAATCTGCATTGCAGCTTGAAATAAATTTAACCCCCAGTGATAAGTCTTGATTTCTGTTTTTAGTGCAGATAAAAGCTACTTGTATAAGCTGAAGTAATCAATCACAATCCAAGTTAGACTGGTTATAAATAGTAGGCATTCGAGTTTCAATGTGACAAAGAGAAAACACAGTTAACTGGAAAAGAGGCCCACCTTGGCACCACTGAATACAGTAGTACCTTGGGTTAAGTATTTAACTCGTTCCGGAGGTCCGTTCTTAACCTGAAGCACCACTTTAGCTAATGGGGCCTCCTGCTGCCGCCACGCCGCCGGAGAACGATTTCTGTTCTCATCCTGAAGCAAAGTTCTTAACCCGAGGTACTATTTCTGGGTTAGCGGAGTCTGTAACCTGAAGTTATTGACCCAAGGTACCACTGTATAGGAATTTGCAGGCAAGATGAATTTCCATTTCTCAATAGTGTTGGGATAACAGCAGTCTGAAAATAAAGATGGGAAGGGCACTCCTGGAAAAGCTAGCTTTGCTCAGGGGTTAACTACCATCTGCAAAAACATATTCCCAAATGATAGCGTAGGAAGAGAAAATATGGTTCTTGTAGGCGGTTCCCAAGCCTAATTTTGCTCATTTTGATCTTTAAGGTACTTCACAGCTTTAGTGTCACCTTCCCCCAGACGCCATCTCTGGGTGACCCCTACCCCCAACCCCACTGGCGCTGGTGCATGGCTACTAAGTCTTTTTTATCATTATGTGAGAACCTTGCTTCAGGAGTTTTAATTCTGTTTTTATCCTGTTAATCCATTTTAGCCCTCTTTTAATTCTGAGTTCCATACTACGTCGTGGCATCATATTTCATTATTATTTAGTTGCTGTATTTTAAAGCTTGTTTTACATCAAGAACCTTTAGTTTCAAAAGAGAAGAGATGTGTAAACACAGACAAACAAAAATGCGACTCTCCAAATGTTGTTCGACTACAACTCCCATTAAATAAGAAACTTGTGGCTTGGATTATAAAATTTAAGGAGACCTGGTCAGATCACTGAACTTCAGTAGCTATGCTAGCATGTGAAGGAGGATTGGAAACTAAAGTCTTGGGGGCCAATGAGGTGTGAATTCTGCCTGCTGATGCAGAAATCAAACTGGAAGGAAAGAGAGAGATACATGTGAAAGAATGGCATAGTCAGGATCCAAACTGCACAAGTAGAAAAGGCTCCCCACTTCAGACCTTTGCCCCTCAAAAGATGGCATGTTGGAGTCTGCACCGCTAGCTACATGTAGAAGACCTTTGCCTCTCCAACTCACAACAGCATCTAGTTTTGTTTGTTTACATAAAGGGAAACTTCATTTCAAAGGCAGGTCCACACATGCTTCCTCTCACACATGCATCTCTCTCTCACACGTGTGTGTGTGTGTGTGTGTGTGTGTGTGTGTACACACACACACCCTCCTCCCTTACAAAAACTCACATGAGCAAGCATCTGCATTCTCATGCATGTAAAGCACACACTCTAGCGTCCGTAAGAAGTGATACAGAAAAATGGACACACAACCTCTGTCTCAATGGCAAGCACATTTATTTATTTGAAACATTTCTTATCCGCTCTTCGCTGCATATGCAATTCCATGGGCTCTTACCCTTTAAAACAAATTGAGATACATCCTACAAGTACTACGAACAAGGCAGATACTTACAAGCAGCCAACTAAAATAAACACCAGCAATAGCACTATAGTCCATCAAAAGTCTGAACAAATTTGCACACAGGCACTCTTGTTTCTCATTCATACAATCGAATGCAGCACACTTTCTTGTGGGACTTTTTGCGGCTTCGCCCACCTGTTATGTGTACATATACACGTTCTTGTTCACCTGGCCTCTCTTCATCCAGCAGATGTATGCCAACACTCTCTTGCCGTCACACTCTCACTCAGATACAAGCATGTGTGCATGCACTCACAAACACACCCTCAGGCACTTTCGCACTCACATATGCACGTACCCCTGCTAACTTTCTTTTCTCTCACACCTTCAGGTGCATAATTTCATGTGCATTCTCTCTCTCTTACATCTGCACAAATTCTCTTGCTCAGTCATAAAGGGAAGTTCTCTTCCTGCAGTTCTCTTACTGCACATAACTGTGGCATTAAGTCTTGCTATGAGAACTATTGCTTCTTTTCTCTTGCATGCTGGGAAGTTTTTGCCTCTGCACATGAGTCTGAGAATGTTCTGAACAGTTCCCATTGAGTTCATGAAACAGTGTATCCTGACCTGTTCTTAATGCATTGCTGACCACATCTACGGAACGTGATTGTTGTATTCTTTCATGTTATGTTCGTTCAATATCAATCTTTAGTTATAATTTAATTAGGAGGTTTCATGCCTGTCTAGTTCCAGCTCTGTTTCTCAGCCTTTGATCTATCAGTGATAAATGGATATATGTAATTCCCGCCTTGTACCTATGTTAACCAATCAGCAACAAGTTGCTTTGTGTTTGTATCAACCAATCAGCCACAAGCACACCTGTGGCAATGTTTGTAATATTCAATAAAAGAGAGTTCCCGGGGCTCGCCCCGGCAGACGCCTCTCATATGACACCTGCCACTCGTCTGTCGTGATTTCAACCCAACACAGTCACATGTTCTCAACATTGAATACATATGGAATTAGACACTCTTTCTTTGCAGATTTTTACTCATGCAGGACTTTTGTGTTCTCCTCCTCTCTTTTGTTGTCTGTGTGCACATCCTGACTCTTACATGCACCCTCTTCCCTCCATGCACACACTCCTGAATTCATACACATTCGGCCACCCCTTCTCTTTCCCTCATATACTTGCCCTCTGTCCAGCACACATAAAAACTCTTACAGATCCTCCTGCTCTATCACATTGCAAATTCCTTTTGAGAAAGTTACCAATGGGCACAATCTAACTAGGCCTGGTCATGACGAATGTACACTCCTGTACTAAAAGCTCCTTAAGTAAAAAACAAACAAACAAAACAGTAAAATATCATCATCATCAATATGCCACCCATGTGACTGGTTGCCCCAGCCGCTCTGTGTGGCTCCCAAGTAATGCAACTAACAAATGATTGAACATGCATGAATCAACAGCAACCAAGCAAATGAGAATGTTTAAGGTATTGGAACTTGAGAAAGACAGGGAAAAGATGGGTGCATCCTACAAAATTGTGAAAAAAGTGTGCTGTAAATAAACCAAACACAAATCCAAATGTTAGAGAGATTATAATATATATCAGAATAGCACAGAGGTGGAGGGGAGTTGGTGTAAATCAGGAGTGGCTAACATATTGTAGGATTCCCAGCTTCAGCTAGCATATCAAGTGGTCAGGAATGTTGGGTGGTGTAGCTCAGCAATGTCTTAAGGACGATAGATTAGCCACCCCTGGTGTACATGAAATCATCCCTCTAGGTACTAATAGATTAATCTATCTCAAAAACCAAGTCTTTAGGCTAAAGCACACTATTTCCAAATTTTCACAATAAGGCGCACCACATCAAGGGATATGGCACCTTCCCCAAGTCCATAGCAGCTAAACAGCAGGTAGGGAGCACAATGGACATGTAGGGTTGGCTTCCTCTCAGCCCATGGAAGGATGTAGCACACCTAGAGTTGTGGCAATAGCAACTCCCTCGCCAAGCCCTGGTCATCTAAAACCAGCTGCGGAAGTTTGGCTTCACAACAAACCTTCATCAAAAAAGCAGCAGCTCCCCTTTTGGCAATGCCTTCATAGTGTTGCTTAACTCACTCTTTTCCATATGCCATTACTTTCCAATCCATTGCCTGGCAAGGAACGCACATTCATTCTTTCATTTTTTACAGTCTATACAAATTGAGGAGCAAGATTCCAAAAGCTCGACCTGCTCAGTTGGTAACGACAACAACTCCTCTTAGGCTTTCCTTAAACAGAATTGAGAATGCATATGAGTCTTCTCTGTAGTGAGAGTGTATCATATTTGCACCCCAAGGAATTTTCAGAATGCAGTTTCAAGAAAACAAAAACAAAACCAATAAATAATGGACTGATTTTTCCTTCTGTACTATTCTGGCATAAAGACTTAACTTGCACACGGGCTAATTTAAATTTCTAAACGGATTGCTAGTTTTTTTAGTAGTCAAATTTGAATAAATCATAGAAGCACAACCAAATAAGTTATGGAAACAAGATGTTTTTGAATACCAATCCTCAACAACAAAGCAAGTGCTGGGGACTGATTATTTACAAAAATAAAAATTTAATGATGTTCACTCAGATGAAAACAGCCACCTGGTGTTTTCCTATGGACTACGATTTAAAGTATTAATTACTATCTGAGTTGGGGGGGAGGGAAAAACACAAAAAATCAAGACTTTTCAGTGAACTAAAAGTGTACTCACAGTGTTGGCAAGTTCCAGGTAACTTCCTCCAACTGAATTACTAAAATTGGAAGCTTGTGTAAGAAGTCTCTGCATTGCAACTTGTTGATTCATGGCATTGCCTCCATAGTCCAAGAACCTCTGCAGAGTTGAACGACTGTGCAAGTCAGGGCTCTGAAGGTCTCTAGCTCCAGAATCATATTCCCAACTTTCTCTAGCTCCTGAGAGGGTACCTAGGAAAAAGGGGAGGGGAAGGCTAGTTTATTAGAAGGAAGTGAACAGTCCAATTCCACATCTTCTCCACTTTGGTGATCACAGAAGTTGAGATCTTGAGGCAACCTTCCTTGATAGCACCTTCCTTCCTTCCTTCCTTCCAATCTCTTCCCAAACCTCGCAATTTCCATGGAGTTCTTGAGACAAGGCCCTGGTCCTCGGCCTCTACTGAAATTAAATACATATAAGTAATCTAAATACATGGTTTTTCCCTGCTTAATTTCACTTCCACCATAAACTCCTGGGCTGAATATGATATTTTAAGTTTCCTTTGCTTTTTTTTTTCAGGGGCCTGTCTTCTTGCTGCTAATTTGTAATGCCCCGTGCTCATGACTGATAGTCTATTAATAATAATTCCACCCTTTGGTCACAAAGGCATTCCAGCACCAATGACTTCCAAGAAGATCAACACTACGCCATATGAATCTTCTACTCTTCTTCAGTCTTGGTGCAACAGATACCGTTACACTTCAGAACAGACCCCTTTGCATGTTTTTAATGACCTGCACCAATCACCAGAGCAGGGTTTTGTTTTGTTTTGTTGCCTGCCTGCTCACTTCAATCTTCTCTCCTTTGTGTGATCTGACTACAGACCCCAGATGGACTTGAGGAGCCTTATAATGACCCAGTTCATTCCATGCTTGTGGTGTGCATGGAAACAAACTTCTATACCGGCATCCCCCTTTGTTAACTCAGGTCCAGCAGAGGGTCAACAGGGAAGCAAATCACACCCCAAATAAATTACATCAAAATTCCACAAATTTTGATTGAGTGCACTTCCAGATAAGTGATCTCAAGCCACAGTAGAAGTATGTACCTGAAGGACCGCCTCTCTCCATGTGAATCTACAAGGACCCTGAGATCATCTTCTGAGGCCCTTCTTCATGTGCCTCCTCCATGAGAGGTCTGGAGGGTGGCAACACAAGAACAGGCCTTTTCTTCTCTCCCCAGGGAGGTTCAGCTAGCAACTTCATTATATACCTTTAGGCACCAGGCGAAAACCAGGCCACCGACTGATTGACATCTGCTGCCCTTTTCAAACGTGTTGTGAAAGGGGAGATTATCGAGTTGTCTTTGTTTTTATTATGTATTTTATGTTTTTGATATTGTGATTTTATGTTGAGAATCTCCCTGAGATCAACGGGTATAGGTCAGTATACAAATTTAAAACAATAAATAAGAACAATATATTTAACACGGATACCTCTTGTCACCATTCAACACTTTCTCATATTCAGTTCAGAGATTTGATTACTGGGCCTCAAAACAACTACCCTGTTACCTTAATACTTCCACAGCTAATAGAAGAGAACATATTCTGTTGAAAACAGGCTGGGGGGAAAATGTTCTGCTGAGACAGTGAGCTTATTAGATTAAAATGTAAGGATAAGTAGGCCGTAAGTTCTTGAAGTAGCAGCAGAGAAACTGTTTTATTGAACAATTATGTGCACATATTAATAAAGCTTTACTGAGTACACATTCAACATTCTGAGCTCCCAAGCAGAAACAATCGCCACCATCACTACTATACTGTAACAGCATAATCAGCTCAGAAAAGTATGAAACACCCCAGAAATGCTAAAGCTAGCCACAGAAATTACGACAGTATATTGAAGTGTTGGTCGCAATTCATATCAAACTAGTAAAATACCTCCCAGTATGTTCCATAGGGAAGAAGGGAATTCTTAATAATCCCATGTAGGGTAAAGTAAGCCATTTCTCCACACCCTCAAGAGAATATTGCCCATCCTCATTTTTAACTTTTTTCATGGTGTTCCCCAGTGGATAGCTCGGTTAGTTAGAGAGCATAGTGCTGATAACGCCAAGAGTGCAGGATTAATCCCCATATGGGATAGCTGCATATTCCTGCATTGCAGGAGATTGGGCTAGAAGATGATCCTCAAGGTCTCTTCCAACTCTACAATTCTATTATATTAATTTTATTTCCTGGTTATCTGCCAGCACCCTTCACTCCGACGCCACAACTTCCATCTACCCTAAATGTCTGCCTCCCTCACAGCAGCTTCCTTCCCGACACAAGTAACAGCTGGATTGAGAAGGGGGGACAAAACTGTGAAAGCCTGAGTTCCCAAGTCCTAACTCTACCCAGAAATGTGATTTTATTTTATTTTATTAAAAAAAAATCACATAACACCAAAGTATGTATTTAACACAACATGCAAGTCATGATAAACCTCTTTTAAATGCAAGTTAAGACACACTAAGAAAAAATGAGCTTATAACCCTTGAGGGGCGGAGCTTCAAAAAACAAAATACTGTATAGCTTTACCTTCCATTTTACAGGGTAGGTTAAAATACGAACTTGAATATCTTAAAAACCTAACGTAGCCATACCATCTCTTAGTAACCTTAAGCATACCCATGATGATAAATTTTGCTGGGATATTTATAGGAGTGTGTTTGATTGATCTAGCTGAACAGTTTTATGTTTGTTTACACAGTTATGTCTGCATCATATTTTCAGTCAAATTGATCAAATTTGCTCAAAATGATTAAGTGTGATAGGAAACCAAACAGTGAAGTGCCGAACGATTAGTAGCAATTGTGCACCTTTAATTTTTTTTTTTTTTTAAATGAGCATTTTGGTTCACACCGTATCAATGAAGTCTATTTTCAGTCTTCCTAAGACTCATTTAAAAAAACAGAGACTATTTTAAGATGCTGGACATAGTGCAGGATAAAGTTATTTTCAAAACAATCTAGGCACAAGTCTATATAAAATGCCTTTTCCTGCAATAAAAATACATACATCAGCTTGAGGAAACACTATTTATAAACATCTGTTTTCTCCACTACTTCGATCCTCTGGCATCAAACACATTTTCCCCTTATGGTTTTTCTTTTTAACTGAAATCAATAGCAGGTGATCTTCAGTTGTAATGGACAATTGATCACAAGGAGATGAGTGTGTTTATCACATTCTAACATTATACTGAGTGTAGGAAATAGCAACTTGGACTTTTGGTGCCTGTTAGGTCATTCTGCATAGCTACACACTAGATGTAAATGATTTTTCAAGTACTTTAACACCTTTGTGAGACAAGAGTGCCTTTAAGATGTTCTCAGCTGTCAGTATTTTCGTTTTTGAATTGAGACAAAAAATTAAAATACCTGGTGCCCTGACTAATCAGGTTCATATTTTCAACTGGTCAAACCATTTTTTAAAAATAATATATAAATTAAACCAAATAGGTTAACTGGATAAAACAGATCAGTTATAGATTTGTATGATGTCAAGATGAACAAGGGTAGGGGAAAAGCTAATTCATTTATTTAAACTAATGGTGCAGCTACAGAAATGAAGAACATACAAAGAAAGAGGAAGAGAGAAATCAATAGCAGAAAACCACAAAGGGCAGTTCCAAACACACAAAACCAAATCCTATTTCATGCCAAGCCCAATCATTCTTCTTGGGATAAATTCATAACATTTTGTGTACTACGAACAGGCCATAGCACAAAGATTGTTATTTCTTTACTAGTTCTTTTCTTGTAAATATCCTGCGACTCTTTTGTGGTTGATTATGATGTCCTCCTTTCGAAGCACCCTATCGAAACTTACTAGCTTCAGCTTCACAAAAACAAGAAGGTTGAATATCGTTCTATGTTCCATAAAGTCAAGAATGTCCTACTGTAAAAATGGCAGCATCTCACAGCGAAGGTAGGAGCAAGAGGTCCTTGTTCTACACACATGGATTACCAGGGCCAGCTCTCTACACAAAAGAGTTGTGACGTAACCTGCCTTATGCATAAACAGGGTTGTTGTTGTTTTTCAGCTGGAACTCACTGGAACTCTGTTCCAGCACCTTTCAGGTGGGCGCCACTCGCATTATAAGAGAACAAGGGGTTCCAGCACCTATTTTTCTAGAAAAACAGCACTGTGTATAACCACAAGTACACTTGGGAAATAACTGTGTTTTGGTAACTATGTGCACGTTAAAATATTTACTAAATATTTAGTAACCATTTTATCTATCCTGGGGGCTCACGGAATAATCTTATTTAGCTGTTCAATCTTTAATACTCATTAAGTTCATTCCATAGCCTTGGGCAAATTGCTATTTCCCAATCCCACTGAAAAGCTTGCTTCAAAGGCAAAAATGTCTTAACTTCAGAATGACATGAGCCCTCGGAGGCCTGTAGGGTCCTGTTTGTAAAATATTTTAAGGATAATATATCCTGTATTTATAGCTACTTTGATTTGGACACTATTTTTTGCAAATCTTGTTGAAAGCGCCGTCTTATTTAGGTGGCTGAATGAGTTTCAGTTGTTGATGCCCAAGGGTATTGTAAAGGCATATGAAGGGATAAAACCTACCTCCTCTGTGCTCAACTTCCCCTGAAATATCAGGTTGGTAGTTTAGGGGTGCTGTTAGCCTTATCCAAGCAGTCTCAATCGCACTGGCACAAAGCACCTTTCAAAAGCTTAGGCTAAAGCACCAGTTACAGCCTCTCCTGATAAAGACAGTCTAGACCAGGGCTAGGCAACCTAAGGCCTGTGGGCCGGATGCGACCCAATCACCTTCTCAATGTGGCCTGCGGACGGTCCGGGAATCAGTGCGTTTTTACATGAGTAGAATGTGTCCTTTTATTTAAAATGCATCCCTGGGTTATTTGTGGGGCATAGGAATTCATTCATCCCCCCCCCCAAAATAGTCTGGCCCACCACATGGTCTGAGGGATGGTGGACCGGACCACGGCTGAAAAAGGTTGCTGACCCATGGTCTAGAGAGCAGCAGTTATTTCTGCACCGATAGCATCTCATTCAGAGTACATGGTGTTGCTTGCTGGAGAAATGCAATTAGTGCAGAGCACATCAGTAAGTTGATTAATTGGAATCAGACAAATGGAACACATCTCTTCAGTTCACAAAGTGTTGTGCTGCCTTCCCATCTGTTCCTACGCACAATTCAAAGTGCAGATATTGACCCCAAGTAACTGGTACATTAAGGACCAGTTTTCCTTGTGTGAAACCACCTGGGTGTTAAGAATGGGCTCTAATGCTCTGTTCTGGGTCACTCTGACTTCCAAAGGAAGTTCAATTATGACAGGAAACAGGACTTTTTCAATGATGCCCTCTATTATCATATCTGCATTTCCTCTACAGGTAATCTGGCACTTCCGTTATTTTGTAATCAGTGCCTAGTGAACGGCTTTTATTTCGGTTTCTTTCTTCTTTTTGGTATTTAAGAAGGTAACTCTGCTTTTAGGCTGGTATTTTATTTTAAGCTACCTTGCTATGATTTGTCAAAACAACAAGGTCACAGTGAAATCATTATTAAGCAAATTTCACTGTGACCTTATTGTTTTGACCTGTGAACCTTAGGTGAGCATACATGCTCCTTATAGCACCTGATAAGGGTAGTTAGGATGCAAACATAAGAAAACTATTTTCCAGAAACCAGTAATTGTTTTATGTTTTACCATAAGATAAATATAAAGGAATCATCATTCTATACCCTTGTTTTGTAAGATTTCCAGCTGCATCTTCTATGAGAAAAATGATACACAAAATCTCCACTTAATCACAACAATATCTGAACAATCAGAGAACAGCTGCAGTGCACTGAACTGAGCCAAAGCAGGAGTTAAATGCCAAAATTTGTATTAACGTCATGCATAATGGCGACTTCTCCTAATATAATGCTTATAGTTCTCAACTATACACCAGTAAAATCCAGTGTATGTCAGAGCACTGCTAAAAAAGAAAAGTATGCACTGTGCTGCTAGACTTTATTTGAGATACTCAGGTAAAGAATAGGTTTAACACAGGATTAAATCGCTAAAGAAAACCATGAATCACAAATCAGGAGAATTCAGAGAATTCCAGTTCCACCGAAACCAGTGGAACTTGAACATTAAACTGTGCACTTTTTGAAATAAATGGAGGGTGAAACTTTGCCCCAAAGCATAGGCAATGACCCTGTGGCAAGCATGAACCTCCACGGCCCTATCATTGGCTTCAATGTACAGGGGGAAGGGACACGGAGACAGTACAGTGGTACCTCGGGTTAAGTACTTAATTCATTCCGGAGGTCCGTACTTAACCTGAAACTGTTCTTAACCTGAAGCACCACTTTAGCTAATGGGGCCTCCTGCTGCCACCGTACCGCCGGAGCACGATTTCTGTTCTCATCCTGAAGCAAAGTTCTTAACCAGAGGTACTATTTCTGAGTTAGCAGAGTCTGTAACCTGAAGCGTATGTAACCTGAAGCGTATGTAACCCGAGGTACCACTGTACAATGGAAGTAATAATCACAGTGTGGGAAAGACCCTGGACAGGAGTCCTAGTGAACATTGGAAAGGCCAGGACCTTCAGTCTTCGCAACTGCTTCACTGGGGCAAGACCTGGAAAAGGTTGCAGAGGGTAACACTAGGCTGAAGCTGTGGTTTGTTTCCTTGAATAAGCAGTTAACTTCATTGGCCTTGGGTGACATATTGTTTTATTTTGCTGACCTAAGCCTGGCTCCAACCCTGACAATGGATGAGTGGTGTTTTATTCTGGGCAGATAAGGCATTTAGCAACACCACCACCACCAGGCCAGAGGGTTGGCTGCCCAGTATCCCCAGATCCTGAAATAGTGGGCGAAGCAGAAAGAGCAAGGGTTCTGATGGACTCCTCCTCACCAACGGATACCAGTCCCACTCCCATCCCGCCCTTGACCCCGGCCCCAACACGTAACATCTTTGACCCACCTCAAAGACATAGAAATGCAGCAGAGGACGGCGTCTGGGGGAACATCCACAAGGAGACATTTACAAAAACAAAAGCCAGGTGTGACTCACAAAAATTCCACACTCCTCTCCTGCCTCGCACCCACATCTAGACCACATCCAGTCTCTCACCTCCAGAGAAGGAGATAAACATTGCTCACAAAGCCTACAAAACCATAAAAGGGGCTGAGCCCTTGCTTTAACCCAAAGACACCAGTGCAGGTGAGCTGGTTTGGGGAGAGAACCCTGAACAGCTGCAGCCACTCAGGCTGATGGTCTACAGGCTCAGTGGGGCCCAGTCCTGATGAAAATACATCCCAGAAACAAGAGCAGCTGCTTTTGCAAGGGGGGTAAGGGGCTTGGCCAGTGTTTCCCAAACTTGGGTCGCCAGCTGCTAGGGATGATGGGAACTGTAGTCCAAAAACAGCTGGAGATCCAAGTTTGGGAAACGCTAGGCTTGGTGTTAACCAATACCAGTACCTCTCCTGCTCTTCCAGCCAGCTGCCTCTCCCCCACTTACTTCTGCTTCTGTAGGAGGAATTATCAGGGCAGGAATCCCATTTCCAGCTCCAATTTAAAAAATACTTCAAGTGAAAGCAAGTATTTCAAAGCTAGAACACTGGCAATTCTATAGGTAACTTTTGCATGCAGAAAAGTTGCTTTCCGGGGCAATAAACGTGACAGATTTACAAACCTGAAGCCTACAAATTGAGATGCCCCCTTTTTTTCTCCACCCCACCCATTATTAATGACCAGTTCACAGCTTTTATAGAGAACAAATGCTACGATTCTTCCTTTTATGCAATTATAGGATGCATAAGACAATAAAAATGCATAAGAATTTATTATGCAAGCCTTGAAAGATCAGAGCAACAATATAAATGTCCGAATTTTATCAGATTCTGCTTAAGGGAAAACATTCTATTATAAAGAAGCCAAATTTATTTCAAAATTGTGGGCCCCCCCACTCAAAAATCCATGTCATTTAGTTCCCAAGTAGCTAATTTTGAGATTTCTCCTCTTAGGGTCCCCCCGCGACAGATTTTATGTGTTTGTGCATACCTCAGTGTGCCCCTTAGTCTACGGCTTCCTCTTCTGCATAGCTGCTATGTTTCTAGCTACATAATAGTGACTGCCAGCAAAGCTACAATATTGGCATATCTGTTTCGGAGGGGACTCACAACAAATCATTTGCTTTCTATTTAATTAAGACTGACCTACACCATTACTCACACACAAGACAATTTAATGAAAACTGCACGTATCAGCTGCAGAGAACACGGAAAATGGGATGCACAGTTCTTACAATAGGTCATTTATCTTGACATTATGCTAATTGCAGTAAAACCTTGGAGCAAAACACAGTTAACATGTTTACCACAAAGTTCTTCATGTTAGATTGTTCTGTGTATTACATGACTGCCACTTTTCCCCACCAATGCTCTTCTGCAACTAAGATAAATACAGTGGTGCCCCGCAAGACGAATGCCTCGCAAGACGGAAAACCCGCTAGACGAAAGGGTTTTCCGTTTTTGAGTTGCTTCACAGGACGAATTTCCCTATGGGCTTGCTTCGCAAGACGAAAATGTCTTGCGAGTCTAGAGATTTTTTTCCGCTTCCCCCTTTATCTAATCTGCTAAGCCTTTAATAGCCTTTAATAGCCTTTTAGCAGCTAATCCCTAAGCCTTTAAGCCTTTAATAGCCGCTAAACCGCTAATAGCGCTAATCCGTTAAGCCGCTAATAGGGTTGCTTCGCAAGACGAAAAAACCGCTAGACGAAGACTCTCGCGGAACGGATTAATTTCGTCTTGCGAGGCACCACTGTAGTTCCTTGGAAAGTCATGTTGTCTTAATCTATTTACAGACAGGAGTGCCCGATTCGATGCATGTTTACTCTTAAGCAAACACTGCTCACTTCAAGGAAGCTTATTCCCAACCCAGGTTGTATCCAATGTTAGTCCTGCACAGAGCAGATCCACTGAAATGACTAACTTAGGACCTTCGATTTCAGTCTACTCAGAGGAAAGCTTAGTTGGCGATGGTAGCCCTCTGAGGATAGTACATCTACTTGCTAACATTAATCCCAGCATGGTGTGCAACAACACCAGCGATGGCATTTAAAGCATACATAATAGAAATACAAATTCAGTGCCAATACACATAAAAAGTCAATCTACTGTTATGACCACAAGCCTTAAAATCAATTTGCATGTTTGTTCTGTATGAGAACTCCCAATATTCTTTTTATCCCTTGGCTCCACTAAAAAGAGGTATTACTTACCTACAAATGCTTATTCTGGAGAGTGCTGTGCATAGTAATAAGAGCCGTAATCTTATATCATCAGAAGGCCAACATGAAAACTAAATGCCCATGAAATTTTACAGCCAAACTCTAAAGCAGAAGAGGGCGTAGAGTTCTGAGCTACAACATCATTGTTGTTGTTGTTGTTAGCTACCCATCTGATTGGGTTGCCCCAGCCACTCTGGGCGGCTCCCAACAGAATATTAAAAATACAATAAAACATCAAACATTAAAAACTTCCCTATACAGGCTGCCTTCTAAAAGTGAAATAGAAGTGAAATAGTGAAATAGTGAAGTGAAATAGAAATAGCAATAGTGAAATAGTGAAGTGAAATAGAAAAGTGAAAGTGAAATAGAAATTTCCTTAAACATCTGATGGGAGGGCATTCCCTAGGGAGGGTACCACTACCGAGACGGCCCTCTGCCTGGTTCCCTGTAACGTCACTTTTTGCATTGAGGGATCAGTATATACTCTGGCAAATCACATTTCCAAACTAGTCAAAATTAGGTACTTTTAGCCTTTGGCTCAATTCTATTGGACAAACATTAGCAATATGCTAACTCTCTACAAGCAGAACAGTTTCAGACTGTCATGGAATATCAACACGTTGGATACTTTCAATGGCCTGCGTTCTATACCTGCCCCATTCTTAAAGCTCATTTGCACCATCACGTCTCTCCCAGCCCTGCAACCTGTGCAAAAGATTTTCAGGACTGTTTTGTCTTCTTTTTTTCAGTAGGTGGCACCCTAATGCTATCTTGTCAGTTAACCCTCTGGTGAAAAGAGCTGTGTAGTTCACCAACGAACAGCAGCAAAGTCAGTGTCAATCTCATACATAATGAAACATAATTCTAGAGAACTAAGTCACAGTTTCTCTGGAATTTTTCAACTTAAGTAACCAGGATTAGACACACACCTCAGAAAAAGGGCAGTAGCTAGACACAGTTCAAGCTGTAAACATCTATCACTGCAATTGCATCCCTCAGCATAAACATTAAACAAAGACTTGCACAAAAGCATAATTTTATTTCAAAGTAAATTTTGCTCACATTCTTGATACAAAATTATCACCAATGCTTTTAAACAATTGGCAAATGAAGTGTATAGTTTATAAAATTATTTATAAAGTTAGTTTGAAATTGAGTTACAAAAAAAAGACCATACTTTTAGCAGGCAATTATTTAGAACAAGATAAGAACAAGACATGGGTGTGTTAGATAGATAATTTATTACGGCCAAAGACCAGCTCGCATAACACAATGATGACAGCGTTCATAAAGATAAAATATACAATTAGAGCAGATTGCAGCAATAGCTCATGAGTTAAAATTGAGATATATACATACACCTGTACAACTGAGATTTCGGCTACCATAAAAATTGACCCTGAGGCGCCCCAAAGGACGACTTCAGCTTTTCCCTAGTAAGCTATTTTATTCTAGTGGGTGATCTGTGCCTACAAATCTGGGCGCAGAATCTGGCTACCAGCCAGGTCGTCTTGGGATCTTTGCCTAAGGAATAGGTCTGTTTCTTTCATTCTAGGTTTAAATCAGTGTTTCCCAGACTTGGGTGTCTAGCTGTTTTGGACTACAATTCCCATCATCCCTGACTACTGGTCCTAATAGCTAGGAATGGTGGGAATCGTAGTCCAAAAAAGAGATGGAGACCCAAGTTTGGAAAACAATGGTTTAAATGATCTCCTAAAGTAGAGGTGGGGAACCTGTGCCCCTCCAGACACTGTTGGATTCCAACATCCATCCATCTCAACGAGCATGGCCAATGATCAGGGATGATGGGATATGTAGTCCCGCAACATTGGAAGGGTCACAGGTTCCCCATTCATGGCCTAATGCTTAAGATTCTGGCCTTGATCAATTCATTATTCACTCTCATATTACAAATCTAATAAAACTATCATGTCAAGGGCTGGCAACCAGGGTGGATAAAAATCAATGTGTTGTTTTTTTTTTAAAAAAGGGTTTTTTAAAATTTAAATCAGTTTTTTTATTTAAATCAGTTTTTTTATTTAAATCAGATTTTTTAAAATTTAAATTGGATTTTTGAAATAAAATGCTTTTGGAGGAAAAATCTTTCTAAAGATAGTTTTCTATTTAAGTTCCATTATAGTCCAAAGGTTATTCATTAAGAAATAAGGATTTGTTTTAAGTTTTTCATGTGTGCTAAAACTCAGTCTAAGGTTTGTTTGTTTTTTAAAAAAAGTTTAACCACATCAGTTAACAAACACGGATACATATGATATAATGTTATTGTTTTAGCTAAATTAACTGTTTAAATTGTTATTGAGGAAATTATTGTTTTTCTCCTTCCAATAAAGTACAGCAGAAAAGTTGTCCAAATATAAACAGTTAACTTATTAAACCTCACAATAATTTCATAATTATCGGTCTAAATATTTCTAATAGTATAACCAAATCAGTACATATAACTGTAAAAACTACTCTGAAAACTTATTATTCCAAAAATGAAACCTGCATCTGGTTGTAAATATTAAGAATATACCAGCAAGAATGAGTCTTTCTGTCAAAAAATGATTTAAATCAAGTCTTACTGACTAGTGATTTAAATCATGATTTAAATTGATTTGATTTAAATCAAATCCACCCTGGTGGCAACTAAACCTGCAACCCTAAGTAAACTTACTAGGAAGCTAATACCCACTTAACAAAGTTGCATTTACTTATTTATATATAACCTAATATAAAATTAAGAAAAGCTTATATTCTTCTGTATCATTAATCAAGTATCCGATCTGTGAACTCAGACAGTTACAAGTAGGATAGCAAAATACTTACAGTCATATACGTAATTAAAAGGCTAAGACTTCATGAGAAACCAGGTTTTTTAAGAACATATGTTTTCTATTAATGAAGGAATTTTTAAGAGATTGCAAAATATCACATCTTGTTATTATAAAATAACCCTTAACAGTCTATACTACCTACACAGCACAAAGTATGTTTTCACGCATAATGGCCTTTTAAAAGGCATCCAGAAAAAGATGTGAATTAAGAAGGCCTCTCCACCAAAAAGAAATTTATGGAATGCTTAACGTTATGTGCCCTACTTTGACATCCTACACAGGTTGAACGCAAGGCTGCAATCTTTGCTCCCTTTGAATGAGAGGGTATATAGCTTGAGAGTACTTCTCTATCCATCGCTCACCCATCAGCTTTGGCAGGGCCACCATATCTGGACAGAGACAGCCTAACATCTGTTGTCTATGCTCTGGAAACCTCTAGGTAAGATTACTGCAACCCATTAAAAGTGGGGATGCCTCCGAATAAACTTCAGTCCGGTTTGGAAACTTAATCTGGTGCAGCATTCAGCGGCCAGGAGAAACTTTATTAAGCTCTAGTAAGTTGCAAGGATGGCACCTATCATTAAAGAGAAGTTTAGCTAATTTGCTAAGTAGGATCTTAGAGGGCAAAACGTTAAAATGTGCCAACAAAACTGCTATTCTGTACTTAGGTAACTACAGAAAAATGTAGGTGTGATATGAATTTGTTAGAGGCAGACTAAGACAGACTGTACTGCATGTGGTCCATTAGCTGATGCATGTAGCTTTTTTCAAATCTGTATCTTTTATTCTCTAAACCATAGATTTGCACTAGGTACAAAGACAGCAGATAAAAAGAAGACAAACCAGCAACAGAAACTTTCCCCATTAACTCTCTTTCCCACATAGATACAAAAGAATTGAGCAAAGCCTGATAAAACAGAGAAATATAGGAGGGGCAGGAAAGCAGATTCAGAGTGAGTAAAGTATACCCATTCCAAGTTTTAATGAGCTAAGTCTGACTTCCATGATTAAGGGTAGTACTAGCAACACATTTAGGTGTACCCAGTATAGCTCCAAGAAAGAAACACCAAGCTGTTCCTAATGAAAACTTAAGCCCAGAAAACCAGATTGAGGCTCCATACGAATTCTGCTTTGCAACTGCTTTGCTGTGTTCACCCATAGGCTGCTGCAACGAATTTACTGCTTTTTGTGAAGAAATATCAAGGCAATGCAATTAGTGTATATTTTTGTTCGGAATGTGCTAATTTGCACTGCACAGTCCAGTTGGTAATGAAAGTTATTCCTGAGATACTCGCAGGAATCAACTTGTTCTAACTTGTGGCTATCCATGGTCTTGGAACACTTGGCCTTCTAAAAAAAATGCAACTTTTTATTTTGCATAGTTAGATATTCTTTCCTACAGTAATCTGCAAATCAAGTGAGCAATCATCTAAGTTCTAAAAAGGTTTGCAAGAGGATGAGAAGTTATTGCACCCACACTTGTGGGAAGATCAGTCAAGAAGAAGTTTAATAAGATGGAAGCAAGGACACATCATTGCCTAACTTCACAGGGGGAAAACACCACATCAGTCTGTGACAACGTACAGCATCACTGCTGATCACATGGTGCATCTATAAAGGCATCAATTTCCTGGTTTTGTGGAACTTCAGTCAAAATGAGATTGTGTTAACTCTGGTCCTAAAACTGCAGGTTTTTTTTATTTTATTTAAAAAACACACACACCAATAAACAACTATTAGGGGCATAGCTGCCCAAAACAAATGCAGCCTAAGATCCTCTCTCCCAGCTCTCTATTTTCATGCAGAGAAACAAGCTGTTGCTACTTGCCAGAACCATAAGCTTGAGAACTAAGCAAGTATCAATGGGGAGATCTTGACGACCACTTCATACATTTTCCAAAGCACACCTGTGCATAGACGTAGGAAATAAATGTACAGCCATGTTTAGCAAAATGTTTTACACACAGCAGTTTGCAGTGTGTTCCCAATATGTATAGTTTAAAATACATGCACAATCTCCACAAATGATGCTAAAATAAGCATGTCGGAAAGAAAATGATTTACTCCAATAAACTAGATCAGGCTTCCTCAACCTTGCCCCTCCACATGTTTTTTGGCCTACAACTCCCATGATCCCTAGCTAGCAGGACCAGTGGTCAGGGATGATGGGAATTGTAGTCTGGAGGGCCGAGGTTGAGGAAGCCTGAACTAGATGATACCACGATGGTGGCCGTATCTGTGTAATCTTTACTTTTAGACAATGGAGGCATAACGAAACAACACTTACCCAAACTGTTATTGCTGCTTGTTGGCCAGGAAGCTATTCTATCCCTTAATGTTTTCTTTTTGCAAGAGTCATCTGATTTCACAGAGAGTTCCACTTCTTCCTTCCTGATTTCTCGCACAAGCTGCATGCGGCATCGTGTGAATTCCTGAAAGGAAATCTTCCCACTTTCATCTGCGCCAAGTTGATGCATGATCTCAGCCACAGAATCCTCCATGTTCAGTTGGCGGCAAACCATCAGCAGGTCATTCCTAGACACATGAGAGCAAGGGGAAAGGGAGAAAGAGAAGACCCAAACAATTGTAGTTTTGTACAAAGACAAGCACTTCTGTATTGGATGATTAGTAGCTAGTAATTCAAAAGAAGTTTTCAAGTCCGATAAAGTAACTTCATCCCCCCCCCCCCCCATTTCTTAAAAGGAACTTTGAGATAAGATTTCAGCCACAGAAGTGATGTTTGAACCAGGGCCATCTCTTCCAGGAGTGCGATGCACCCGGGCACCAAACTCTGAGGGGCGCCAAATGCCCTTTCGATCGGCGGCAGTGAAAAGCAATGAAGTCCCCATCTCCCCTCCTCCATCATTCTCTTACTCTGTACCATCAAACAAAAGCATGTGTGAGTGATCACCCCCCTCCCAAAAAAAGCTCAACAACAACTTTGAGTTCGCCTCCCTTAAAAAAAGGGGTGCTGGGCGGATCTTTGCACCCCGGTGGCGCATATGCTAAAGACGGCCCTGGTTTGAACGTATGGTAAACTCCAGTGCTTTCTTGGCAGAGCCACATAAAGCAAACCCTTGAGAAACTACATACCCGTACTTTATGTTTTGGAGTTTGTAGGTGCCTTGATCATTGCAACTGAGAAGGACCAAGACTACACAGAGGTTGTGAAACACAAACAAAGAAGTAGAAGTAAAACAAACTGATGTATATTGTGCTCTAGGAGGCTTGGTTTGGTCAGAATCGAGTATACACTTCCAGAGTTAACACTAAAGACATTACTTCTGGTAAATGAGCTATCATAGCCGCTAGAAGGCTGTGAAAATTTGTGTCCTGGGTTTTTTACTCTCTACCCATGTGCTGCTATCTGAAACCAAAGAGGTACATTGGTTTGTCAGATGTGAAATATATTGGCATTATTATCAGCCCTACTTTTAAAACCTTGAAAATATTAGCTGAGAGAATATGTGACTGTTTCTAAATGTTTTTCCCCCTTTTAATTGTATTCTTTTGCAGTTTTGTTGTTTGTTGCCCTGGACTCCTTTGGGGTTAAAGGTAAAGGTACCCCTGCCCATATGGGCCAGTCGTGTCCGACTCTAGGGTTGCATGCTCATCTCGCTCTAGAGGCCGTGAGCCAGCGCCATCCGAAGACACTTCCGGGTCACGTGGCCAGCGTGGCGAAGCTGCAGCTGGCGAGCCAGCACCAGCGCCGCACACAGAAACGCCGTTTACCTTCCTACTATAAAGCGGTACCTATTTATCTACTTGCACTTAAGAGTGCTTTCGAACTGCTAGGTGGGCAGGAGCTGGGAACCGAACGCCAGGAGCTCACCCCGCCACGGGGATTCGAACCGCCGACCATACGATCGGCAAGTCCTAGGCACTGAGGGGTTAACAGTGGGATAAAAATTTAATAAATAAAATTAAATTATAATAATGTTCTATTGACACACTTCAAAACTCTAATGCCAATCTGTTCTACAAAAGGATGTCTTAAATATTTGTTTGGATGGAATGTGATCATACAACAAATCCAAACAGCTGTTCAAATCCAAACAAATCCCTGTTCTGACTTTTTAAAGAGTAAAGCTATATCTACTGCAACCAATTCAATGTTTACACAGGTGAATTGGGCATTTTCCTTTCCACAATCACTCCCAAACATGAGGTGACATATTACAAATCCTGTGAAGCATAGTATCCATGGGTACAACCTTTGGCCATTTCTATTACCAAATCTGCAAAAAAACATAAGATTGAAAGCTGGAAACAACCCACACCAATACATGCAGATAAAACCAAGTCAGATGTGGAAGTTCCATCACCCCCAAAAATTCAGGGAATGGTAGCTTGGGAGAAGGGCTCTCCCTGTGGTAGTCTTTAAGTTGTGCAACTCCCTTTCCACAGAGGTGTATCAAACACCTTTACAGAAAGGTGCTTTACATACAGTCAAACTACTGATCCATATTGGTAATATCTGCACTGACTGGCAGTGACTCTCCAAGATTTCAGAGAGATTTCTCTTCCAGTCCTACCTGGTGCTCCTGGGAACTTCTGGACCATGCCCCCCCCTTTTATATCTTCTGCTGTACACTTTACCTTGGCTTTGACAGCTAAGGTGTTTTTCTGAGACCTAGCTCTTCTGCTTTGTTTAACCTACACTATGCTAGCTTTGTTTGGAATTGTTTTACTTGTATGATTATGTTGTTGTAACTCACCCTGTGACCCTATGGCGGCTAAAAAAATCTTACAAATAAAATGAAGGAATTTCCTCTATGCATGCCAAAAACAACTTTAGACGTGGGGGGAGGGGGATTCCAATGGGAGCGTAACACTATTATTTCCAAGATTTTCATCAAGAAGCCTTGAAAGCTTCACGGAATCATAGCATTGCTGAGATAGAAGGGAAGAGTCATCTAGTTCAACATTCAGCAGCAGTTATCTCAACGAAAGCATCCAGGACAGATGGCCATCCCATCTCTCCTGAAAACCCTCCAGAAAAGGAGACTCCACCACATGGGTAGGCCTACTAAAGCCCGGGGGCCGGATCTAGCCCAATCACCTTCTCAATCATTCATTTCCCCCATAAATTATAGTCTGGCCCCCCACAAGGTCTGAGGGACAGTGGACCGGCCCCCCTGCTGAAAACGTTTGCTGACCCGTGGTCCACCACCTCTTGTGGGAGTCTGTTCAACCGCCGAATAACTTTAGTGTCCTTTTGATACTATGGGAATAACAATTTATTTGCCCATGCTTTTTAGTATCACCTTTTAGGTCTTACACCAGTACTGTGTGTGGGTTTCAAAGTCTTGCCTTTCAGTTAAATTCTAACACAAGTTTACGGAGCCCTTAAAATCCATCCCAACATTAGAACCCATCTGAAAAGCATATCAGTGTGGAAAAGCTTAGCTCGGAACAATTAACCTAAGCTGCCTGGAGCTATAAGCATGGGGAACAATTTCCTGGCCTCCAACATATTACTGCTACATGCCACAAAATGTAACATTGCACTGGCTTTATAATCTTCCACACTGCCAAGACTGTCAGTCACTGAATATAATTCATATTTTTTTTTAAAACTCCAGTATTAATGTAGTGGAATGTACTCATAGATTTACTGCATATATGGTTCACTCAATGTCCATTAACCTTGCTGATTTAGTGACACAGAAAGTGTTTTCGACTCATAAATACCCTTTTGAGCATGTGGGGAGAGGGGGAGGAAATCAAAGCTAATTTGCCTCTTTCAGGAAATTAGCTCTTATTTTAAAAGAACTTGTATAGCAGCATCCAATTAAAGATCCCAGAACTACAAGATGGTTAAGCCAACATAACATTCTTGCTAAGCGATAAGAAATGAAAACCGAAAGACAAACATGAAAGCTGAAACCACAGTGGATTTCCCCACTCCTAACACAGGACTCCCCCAAAGAGAAGTCAAAGAATGTGAAATATGGCAAGGTTCCTGCTGCAACGTATTTCAACCAGCAGCTGCTACTCTGGGAAAAGTCCCAATGCTAATAGGAGTACGATGAGACAGATTCATTTCTAACGCTATTAATTGATCAAAGAGATACTGGCAAGTTAAAATAGCTTCAATTCTCTGTGATGCAGACATTTGGAAGGCTCCTGGGAAATCTGCAGCAGAGTAGAAGATCAAAATTTTGCAGCATAAACACAGTGGGAATCCTATCCACGAAAACAACATTGTCAAACTGGCTTAAGGATTTATTATTTAGGTCCTATTTATAAAAGAACAATCCAACTGTATTCAGAGAGGCCTTGACTTCCATGTAAGAACCTCCTTAGCATGTGAAACAGCCCTGTGACAGCCTCTAGAACAGGGATCCTCAAACATTTTTAACAGGGGGCCAGTTCACTGTCCCTCAGACACTGTTGGGACCGGACTATAGTTTGGAAAAAAGCTCATAAGCTCTGTGCTTTCTGTTCTGCCACCTTATCAGCTCTTCTTGTCCTTGGGCTGAGCGGAGGAATGCTTTCCAGAGACAGTGAATCTGTTAGCTCTCCCCCCCTCAGTGCTTCTTCTCCTAGCTGTTCCCCATCCAGTATTTCCTAGCTTCTGCCGTCTGAATTATGTCCCTCTGCAAACCACTGTTCCAAATCTATATTATCCTCCTGCTCCTGGGAAGATTCAGGAGCAGGGAGGGGAGGGAAGCGAAGGGAAAGGCTCCCACCATTCCTCCTCAGCGCAGTCCTCCTCAGCACAGTCCCTGACACCTGCCAGCACCTACTGAATGTAGAGTAGCAGCACTCTACTGTAGATTGACTAAAAGGCCCAAGGCAAGGGTGTAGGGTTCTTTAGGTTGCTCACAATTCCCTATGATCAAACTACACCAGCTATATACTTTAAAAAAACAATTTTATTCCTTAACAAAATATACACAACATAATATTATAGTCAATTATGTAGTCATTGTAGTCAAGTTAAATCAGGGCTTCCCAAACTTGGGTCTTTAATTGTTTTGGACTTCAACTCCCATCATCCCTACCTAACAGAACAGATCATGGATGATTGGAATTGTAACATAAAACAAAGGCGAAGCAATACAGTATAGTAATTAATATTTTAAGATATTTCTCTGATTATCAAATTTTTAAAAAATAACTTTCTTGAAGGTGTTCCATAATGATAGTTCGGTTTGGGGTGAGTGAGTAATTCATTAAGAAAAAAAAGGACAGGGTTACCAAAATGCTCTTAATCTGCTATCATCAGATTTATGTCTTTGTAAAAAATGTAAATCTTTTTTATAGCAAATGCTGTATTGAATTTTATTTGGCAAAACCATACCGATTTCACTTCACAGTTAATGTTCTCATGAGCCAAGTTTTAATTTCGGATGGTAGCACTTTCTTATTATTACGGTTAACCTTTTTTTAATATATAATTTAATGTTCTAAATTTCTTGCCACCTTTACTGAGACTGTGCAAATATGCTTTGCATATTTTAAAATTTAGTTCCCAATAAAAGTATCAGCAGGAATTAGGTGGCAAATGTTCTCATTAAAATGAACCGTGCTAATTAACACCTAGAGAACAGCCACTAAACAAGGGAGATAGTCCCTATTTTCGCTGCTAATTCTGTCAGATGCACATGAATACTCTCAGCAACAGTAGAGAGAGCTTACAGGTATTCAAGTAGTTCTTTCCAAACCAATTTCGCAGGCTTGTCTGGACAACCCTGCCACCACCCATCCTGCTTGAAATGTTCAGTGAAGTGCATTATGACTTTAATTTGTTCTTTACCCCTTGTTTTTTTTTAAATAGGAGGAGGGAGGGGAAGGTTTCATTACAATTCTCTACATCTTGGAATGCTTTTCTCCTTCTTATTAGTCCCAATTTACACTTGCTAAGGAAGGCTCCTCAGACAAAAATGCCTGGCATGAGGCCCACACGAAGGGGAAAGCAATCTTTGAACTCAGAAAATGGAAGCAATCCAAAATAAAACAAGGGTTGCATTGTATTTCAGAAGCTTCTGCCTTGATCAACTGGAAGGCTCAAAAGAGTGCAAATGCTGATACTGGCCATGTTCAGACAATCAAATACTTCAAGGGCTGTCTTGTGGAAGAGGGAGCATGCTTGTTTTCTCCTGCTCTGGAGGGTAGTTAGTACTGGAACCAATGGCTTCAAGTTACAAGAAAAGAGATTCCAACTAAACATCAGAAAGAACTTTCTGACAGTAAGAGCTGTTCGACAGTGGAATGGTCTCCCTTGGGAGGTTGTGGACTCTCCTTCCTTGGAGGTTTTTCAGCAGAGGTTGGATGGACAGGTGGGCGAGCGCTGAACCCGCCTTATCTGTATCATTTCTGGGCTTATCAGATCCTGAACTGAGGTCATTGGTAAGGAAAGTCCTGTTCAAACTCAATGTGGGCTGTAAAATGGAGAAGGAAAAGACATGTGGATAAAATACACATGACTACCCTAATCTCTTCCAAAATAGGTTTAAACAAATTATCTAGTGACAAACTGAAATATGTGAAATAAGAATCTGTACAAATATATTAGAAACCATAAGGAGGCAATGTAAAACCACTTCTCAGGTTATCAGCACACAAGAGTAATCCTTCTTCCTCCAGCAAGCCATGTAACAATTATCATAAAAATGTGAAATTACTCCTTTCAGTGGCATCATACAGGAATAAGATCACCTATTTAAATTGCAAGAGACTCTTTTTAAAAAAAAAAAAATCGGTTAAAACACCATCTCTAAACCTGTATGCTAAAATCTGACGCACAGACCGTGAAATCACTAAAAGCTCATAAATGTTAGCTCTCTGTGCTACACACATCAATTCAAACAGGTTTCTTCACAAGTTCACAATGCCTTTTCCTGTACAGTAAACCTGGGGAGGCAAGTCTAAACCCATCACAAACTAAACACATTTACTAGACCACCTGTGTGGTCCTTATGCACATACAAACTACAGCATGGAAACCCTACTATTCTCAGGTTTCAAACAGTTTTTGTGCACATAGGGACCATACAGGTGGTCTAGTGAAAAGGCATAGGTCAAGTGTCCAGGCCTTGGCACCAAGATCCTGCTTCTCACACACACCCAGAGCCCAGGGTTGTTGGAAGGTGGTCATCACAGAGACAGTTAAAACTGTGTAGTAGGTTGTTTGTTGGCGTACCATCACAATTACCTTTTGATGTCATCAACCCACTGCATAGTATCAGTTAACAGATACCAACAATCTCTTGACCAGTGTTAGAAACTGAGATGAAAGCTAGGAGCTAAATGGTACCTTAAACCTAGGTTGTGGGCGCAACAACGGAATGTCTAGGTGTGCTTTTTTTATAACAAGAATAGATAAAGGTAAAGGGACCCCTGACCATTAGGTCCAGTCGTGACCGATTCTGGGGTTGCGGCGCTCATCTCGCTTTATTGGCCGAGGGAGCCGGCGTACAGCTTCCGGGTCATGTGGCCAGCATGACTAAGCCGCTTCTGGCGAACCAGAGCAGCACACGCAAACGCCGTTTACCTTCCCGCCGGAGCGGTACCTATTTATCTACTTGCACTTTGACGTGCTTTCGAACTGCTAGGTTGGCAGCGGGAGCTCACCCCGTCGCGGGGATTCGAACCACCGACCTTCGGATCGGCAAGTTCTAGGCTCTGTGGTTTAACCCACAGCGCCACCCGCGTCCCAATATAACAAGAATACAAAGCTGAAAATGAATGAACTGCAGTTTTCACATGGTCTAGTCCTTCCCCTGCCCCCCCCCTAATATTCTTAAGAGGGTCTCTTCTCCAGTCTTCAGAGAGTAGCTGGAAGTGGGGAGGCAGAAAAAGGTCCTCCTTTCCTTCCACTCTGCAGTTTTAATCTGAAATTTTAGGTGCAGTACTGCATCCAGAGCTCAGAAACTGCTCACACTAATGAAATTCCCTGTCGCAAAATGCGCCTAGAACAATGGGAGTTTCAAACACTTCTCTTGACACAGCAGTCCTGTAGGACAAAAGGTGGAGGGAATACTTCTTAAGAATAGATAGAGCTTGTCACCAGCAGCTTTTATAAGCACTTGCATTAAAAAAATACAGCAATGTGCTTTCTTTTTAATCTGTTGCCTAATCAAACAGGTGCAACTTTTAAATTAATTGAAGCTTCAAAGTGCAATCCTATACATTTCTCCTCAAAAGACAGACCTGTTGAATTCAAAGGCACTTACTTCCACCCAACAAAGTGTTTATAGGATTGCAACTTTTAGTAAAGTTATTAAACACTGTAAGGTAAAGTAAGGTAAAGGACCCCTGGACGGTTAAGTCCAGTCAAAGGTGACTATGGGGTTGTGGGCACTTACATCGCTTTCAGGCCGAGGGAGCCGGCGTTTGTCCACAGACAGCTTTCCGGGTTGTGTGGCCAGCATGACTAACCCAGTTTCTGCACAACAGAACACCGTGACGTAAGCCAGAGCATACGGAAACGCCATTTACCTTCCTGCCGCAGCGGTACCTATTTATCAACTTGCACTGGCATGCTTTCGAACTGCTATGTTGGCAGGAGCTGAGACTAAGCAATGGGAGCTCACCCCATTACGGGGATTTGAACCGCCAACCTTCTGATCGGCAAGCCCAAGAGGCTCAGTCGTTTAGACCTCAATGCCACCCGTGTCCCTTGTTAACACTGTAGTAACTGAACACACCTAATACCTAATCACTCTCTTTCTCCCCACCATTCACTCCTTATATCACTGATCTTTAAAAGAATCACAAAAAATGTGACACTTTACATTAGAAAGATTACTCAGGAAGCCCTTTAATTCCACGAGATGGCGGTGAAGGCTGCTAAGAAGTCATACTTCTCGGCCTCCATTGCATCCGCAAGCTCTCGCCCGGCGCAATTATTTAGTATAATCAGGTCTTTAACGTCCCTTGAGGGACAGCCAAATTTAAATAACAATTTGACACACAGCTGTGAGGCATTTGCGAGCTTTTTGGCGGAGAAGGTCTTCTTGCTCCGCCATGACCTCCCGGCCAATTTGGATACAATAAAGGAACTGGAGGCCCCTCGACTGTCCTCGGGTCCAGTATTGGACCACTTCGACCGGATATCCCCAGCCGATGTGGACAGACTCCTCCGAGCTGGAAAGCCCACCACCTGTCCTCTCGACCCGTGCCCGTCTTGGCTGATTAGAGCGTGTCCAGACGAGGTGCGGGCCCTCCTGGGGATATCATCAATTTGTCCCTTGGCACGGGACATTCCCAGGGGAACTGAAGGAGGCAGTGGTGCGCCCGCTCTTAAAGAAAACATCATTAGATCCTTTAGATCTATCCAATTACCGCCCGGTTTCGAATCTTCCGTTCCTGGGTAAGGTGATTGAGAGAGCGGTTGCTGAACAGCTTGGTGGTTTTCTGGATGAAACATCGGCTCTGGATCCATTCCAGTCCGGCTTCCGCACTGGTCATGGGACCGAGACGGCTCTGGTTGCCCTAACAGATGATCTTCGTAGACAGCTGGATCGAGGCGGGTCGGGGCTGCTGATTCTTCTAGATCTGTCAGCAGCTTTCGACATGGTCGATCACGAACTTCTAGACCACCGCCTTGCCGACGTGGGGATCCAGGGCACAGTCCTTCAATGGCTGCGCTCGTTTCTCTCTGGTCGGGGACAGAGGGTGGCGCTTGGGGGGGAATTGTCATCGCGCCACTCCTTGGTGTGTGGAGTACCTCAGGGTGCGATACTCTCCCCGATGCTTTTCAACATCTTTATGCGCCCCGTCCCAGCTTGTTCGGAGTTTTGGGCTGGGTTGCCATCAGTATGCCGATGACACCCAACTCTATCTGTTGATGGATGGCCATCCTGACTCGGCCCCAGACACACTGACTAGATGTTTGGAAGCTGTGGCTGGATGGTTTCGTGGGAGCCGGTTGAAGCTAAATCCTTCGAAGACAGAGGTCCTGTGGCTGGGACGGGGCGATATGGGATTGGGGGGGCAACTCCCATCTCTTGCGGGGGCGCAATTAGTGCCAGCACCGTCCGTTAAGAGTTTGGGTGTAATCTTCGACGCCTCCCTTTCCATGGAGGCGCAGATTGCAGCTATAACAAAGGCGGCATTTTTCCATCTCCGCCAAGCTAAGCAGTTGGCTCCTTACCTCTCTCGCCCTGACCTAGCCACTGTGATCCATGCGACGGTCACCTCCAGACTGGATTATTGTAACTCGCTCTACGTGGGGCTGCCCCTGAGACTGACCCAGAAACTCCAGCGGGTGCAGAATGCTGCAGCGAGATTCCTTACGAGGTCTTCGCTGCGAGATCACATTCACCCGGTGCTATACCAGCTGCACTGGCTCCCGGTGGAGTACAGGATCAGGTTTAAGGTGCTGGTTTTAACCTTTAAAGCCCTATACGGCCTAGGACCCTTGTACCCTACGGGACCGCCTCTCTGGTATTCCCCACCGAGAAACTTACGGGCTTCGTATAAAAACATATTGTAGGTCCCAGGCCCCAGAGAAGGTAGGCTGGCCTCAAATAGAGCCAGGGCTTTTCGGCTGTGGCTCCGATCTGGTGGAACACTCTGTCACAAGAGACCAGGGCCCTGCGGGACTCGACATCTTTCCGCAGGGCCTGCAAGACAGAGCTGTTCCACCAGGCCTTTGGCCAGGGCACAGCCTGACTCCCTCCCTCGGCAATCTTCGCGGAGCTCTGGCCCAATGGTTGCCAGTGGCTTGAATTAATTAATTTTATAACGAATGATTTTAGACTGTTGTTTATGCTGTACTTTTGTACTGTTTTATTGTTGTTAGCCGCCCTGAGCCCGGCTTCGGCTGGGGAGGGCGGGATATAAATAAAATTTATTATTATTATTATTATGTAGCATCCTCTCACTGTTAGCTTTCATACATCCTTGTTAGAAGCCTTTTGTGGAAAAATGAAGCTCACCACTGTGACTAGAATCTAGGTTTGTTACAACCACGGACCTCCAAAGGGTTTCCTTCTACAGCAAGCTGGTTTGCCCAGTTTGCTTCCCCTCAAGATGCTCCTTATGGATGACAGTCGAATGATCACAATTTACCACTTAATTACCTATCCTGAAATCTAGGTCTGCCTAGCAATACTGTGCAATGTATACTCTGTGGTAGCTCTGTTTCCTTAATCTGAATTAACAAAAGCATGGGTTCTAGATGCAGAAAAGCATTCACGGAAACATCAAGTCACCAAGTCTTACTCATAGTCCTAGCCTCTCTATTTTTTGTGCTCTCCCCTGCTCAAAATTCTGTTCGGTGAACCATTAATTTAACCTAACTCTATTTCTAAAGTCCTACCAATATCACCAGGAACTGTGAAGCAGACAATTAAGAACGCCTGAGCAATTTTATTGCAGCACATCAATTTTTCCTACCAGATGTGCAAAGCTTCCAACCTGAATTCCATTTACTGATATTCATTATCTAATTCTGTTTGGCTCTGAAGCGACTCTGTATACACGATTATGACCAAGCTAAGCCTCCTAGAGCACAACATACATCAGGAGGCTTAGTTCCAGAATCCAGAGTTAACGCTCAATATGTTGCTTCTGGTGAATGAGCCACCATGGCCGCTAGAGGGCTGTTAAAATTTGTGTCCCGGGCTTTTTAAGAGTCATCTACCCATGTACTATCTGGAACTAAAGTGACACATTGATTGCCAGATGCCCCAGCTCCCCCATCCCAATACATTAGGCCAACCAATACCACAAAATAGTGGGCAAGCTTTTGAGTATTACACTCCTGCTGCACTGGCTGCCGACTTGTTACTAGGTCAAACTCAAGGTGTTCTATTAGCATACAAAACCCTCAGCAGCTGACTTGAAAGACTGCCTAAAGCCACATGCGGCCACTCTCCTGCTTCCATCTGCAGAAATGACACTTTGACAAACGCCATATCATGTTCATGTAAGAAATCACTTGTAAGAAATCCATCTTTTGGTGTGCCAGCACAATTTCTCTGGAACTCCCTTCCTATTTAGTATTAGACAGGTCCCTTTGCCATTTCCAATACCTGCTAAAATAATAATAATATTTTTTAAGCCATCCTACTCAAGATATGGAACTTTATTGTGCACATTTGTTTTTTAAGTCTGTTGATTCTATCAGTACTTTCTTATGAATATTCTATACTGTTTTTCGTAAACTGCTTAGACAACAGTTGATGCTATTATAAAGTGGCATACCAGTTTTGTTAAATAAATAAATAGTAGTCCATGTCTTGTGGAAGCTGTCTATCCAAACAATGTACGGAGGGCAACAAGTAAGGACGGCTGCTCTAAGGTTACCTAGAAACATCATACACAATGACCCAGCTAAAAAAAAAACCAATAAAGGAAAAAGTAAAGGACCCCTGGACAGTTAAGTCCAGTCAAAGGCGACTATGGGGTGTGACACTCATCTCACTTCAGGCTGAGAGAGCCGGTGTTTGTCCACAGACAGCTTTCCAGATCATGCGGCCAACATGACTATGCCGCATCTGGCGCAACGGAACACTCTGACGGAAACCAGAGTGCACAGAAATGCCGTTTACCTTCCTGCTGCAGTGGTACCTATTTATCTACATTGGTACCTCGGGTTAAGAACTTAATTTGTTCTGGAGGTCCGTTCTTAACCTGAAACTGTTCTTAACCTGAGGTACCACTTTAGCTAATGGGGCCTCCTGCTGCCACTGCACCGCCGCCGCGCGATTTCTGTACTCATACTGAAGCAAAGTTCTTAACCCAAAGTACTTTTTCTGGGTTAGCAGAAAACACTTATGTAACCTGAAGCGTTTGTAACCCAAGGTACCACTGTACTTGCACTGGCATGACCCAGCTTAAAAAACTAAACAATACAGTGGTACCTTGGGTTACAAATGCTTCAGGTTACAGACTCTGCTAACCCGGAAGTAGTAACTCGGGTTAAGAACTTTACTTCAGGATGAGAACAGAAATCGAGCGGCAGCGATGCAGCGGCAGCAGGAGGCCCCATTAGCTAAAGTGATACCTCAGGTTAAGAACAGTTTCAGGTTAAGAACGGACCTCTGGAACAAATTAAGTTCTTAACCAAAGGTACCACTGTAATCCCACTAGGGCTAGGCGATATATCGACACATCGTCCAAAATCAGTTTGAAATCCACAAAGCGATAATGTTTTCATAATATTTGACATGGAGATATATCACAACGTGTGTATGTGCGCTATGTAAAAAAACTACAATATGGGAAAAACCAGGAAGCTGGTATTCACTTCTCTCATGATTCCTGCTGCCCCTGTTGGTCTGGGCTATAAAATAACAGTTGTAACAATATGTGAAAGCAAAGAAAGTAATACACAATTGAGCAACTGAGCAAGAAACACACACAACCCATGTGACCAAAACCATCTTTAAACTAAACCACAGTTCAGAAGCGGAGAGACATTTTCCCTAAGAGTTCCAATAATTCTATTCAATGCTGAATCATTTCCCAAGAAACTTCTCAGTTTCTGCAGTAGTCTTGTCATTTTACAGTCAGGATACTAGCTTATTATTATTATTATTATTATTATTATTATTATTTGCAATCACAGCTAGAATGTCTCTTGCAATCATGAAAGCGAGTCATGTGCAGTTCCAACCTCCCAAAGGCCTTTCTTGCGTATGCATAAATGCACTTGCCACGGAACATTCCTTGAATGTTCAGTGGGAGGAAGAGGCTTTTAAACCATCTCTCCATAGGTTGATTTTTCCCAGCAAAGCTTTTCAACTTCCAACTCTGAGGGGACAGGCAGGATAAATAAATAAAGAACAACTGTTTATCATTTTTGCTGCCATCACTTTTTATGTATTTTAAAAAAACACCAATTGCCAAAAACATTACTGCTGTGCACTACAGTATTTGAATTTTAAACAGACATTATTGCATTTTGGTAATTTAGTTACAAAAATGTCTGTATTCTGGTAGGAAAGTATAATGTATGCCATTTGACTAGATGTGTTCCAAATTATATTCCACTGCCAAATTGAATTCCCATCCAATATCAGCCAGCAATTATCCTTTTATCTGCCATTTTAAAATGTCAGTCTAACTATTCATAGACTGACAATTAATTGTCCTCTCAGGAGGTGCTCTTTTCCTCTCCATGTGTGGCTCTGCTACCCAGCAAGTATTTAAAGAGTTTTCAGTTTAATGCGCAGCAAAGGGTTCCCACAGCTGAGACTCCATATAACTTCATTATGTATGCAAATATATATTATTCGATTTATATCCTGCCCTTCCTCCTGAAGGAGCCCAAGTAATGGTAAAATGTTTAGAAAGAGCTACAACCAAGAACAGTTTTAAAACACTCTTTGAAACTATGAAAAAGCATTCGCAACCAGTGATCTTGGGGCTACCAGGAACAGTGTCCTCCAGCCATCAAATGCCTGAGTAAACAATGATGTTTTAATTCCCTCTCCCAAAATAAAGTCAATAATGACACCTCACTAGGGAAGGCATTCCACAAACAGGGAACCACCACTGAAAAGGCACTACTACCACAAGTCACTGCCAACTGGGCAGTTACCAATAGCACCACCACCAATAAGGTTTCATCTCTTGATCATAGGGTCATAGATGGTTGATACTGCAGGAGGCTCTCTTTGAGGTACTCAAGTTTCAAGCCACTTAGGACAGGCATAGGCAAACTCGGCCCTCCAGATGTTTTGGGACTACAATTCCCATCATCCCTGACCACTGATCCTGCCCGCTAGGGATGATGGGAGTAGTAGTCCCAAAACATCTGGAGGGCCAAGTTGGCCTATACCTGATTTAGGACTTGATATGCTAGTACTAACACATTCAGTTTGGCCTGGTAGCTCTCTGCCAGCCAGTGTGTCATTTTCAGGACTGGCGACACATGGTTCCACTGCGCTGCCCCAGTTATGAGCCTAACAACCGCATTCTGCACTAACTTGTCCCCATACGCTAAATAGAAGACATGTGCAATGGAAAAGTGCTTGCCTTTACCAAAAGAATAAAATGCAGTTCTTCCCTCAGCTGGCTCTGGTGGCCAAGAAGCAGCTTCACAAAGGGTAGGGAAATGACAAAAGAAGGCTAAATTAATTTCAGAGCTGCATGAATGATAGAACTGATTTTTTTAAAAAATTAAATATTCATAACCCACAGAGTAAATTGCACATTTAGAAGAAAAGGCATTCCAGTCACTCTCGAACTGTTCACTGTGACTGTTGGTGGTCTATCTAGGATTTACTGGTTCAGTGGTGCTCCAGAAGTTGGGCATTTATAGGTTTTATGTTTCTCTTCTCCCAATTAAACCTACAGATGTCTGAACTATTTACTGCAGAGCAAAGCCAAGCCTAAAGGCTTGCATCTGGAAACAAGGAGTTAAACTAGCATGCAGCTTCTGCTGGGGCCATGAACAGGGTTTCACCGCGCGCGCGTGTGCGTAGAAGCGTTCTGCGTGCTTCGCGCATGAGCAGAAGCATTCTGTGTGCTTTGCACATGCGCAGAAGCGCTCTATTTCACTCCGCGCTTGCACAGAAGCACCGCTCTAGTTGTGGACTTTTCGGGGTGCAAATGGCACCCCGGAATGGATCATGTCCACTGTACTTTCCTCCCTAAAAAAGCTCAACAACTTTGACTTGAACCTTGAACTCCCCAAAAAGGGGTAGATCACTGCCAGTTTTTTATTCTATAAGTAGATCGCAGTCTCTTGGGAGTTGGACATCCCTGCCATAGTACAAGAAGAGATTATGTGTGTTAACATCAAGAACAACTGGGCATTAGAGCACTGCATGAAGGATGTACATTGACTGTCCATTCTCTCTATATTTATGGAGCCAAGATAAAACCTTGGTTTATCCCAGCACCTAATCCAATCATAAGTGAATGGCGTGCAAAATGTTGGCCTTGCCTTTAGGGTTCTTGCCTTGGACAAATCTGAACATCTGAGCTAACCTCCAGATTATAATCAGGGAACCATTTCAATACCCAAGAAGATATGGACTGCATGCTAGAGGATTATGCCTTTCAAACTTGCAAAAGCAAATATTCTACTCATATGTTTGACAACAGTGGCGTTTCATATAAGCAAAATGCCCATTTAAAACCGTCAGCATATGTGGAAACACTATTAAAATACTAAGGGTGAGATACAAAGATGTACGTGGTGTCCTGGTGGCAAGAGATGGACACTACACCTCCTGGCCCAATAACTACTGTATTGGCCCAAATATAAGCCGCACCCGAATATAAGCTGCGCCTTTAAAATTGGAGTGGGGGAAAGAAAAAATACCCGAATATAAGCCACTCCATTCCTCGCTGCTTCTGGCTACATAAGGGGGGGGGGCCGGAGCCGTGCTGCGTTTCTGCCTTTCCCCTTCCTCGCCCTCTCCCTTCCCAACCTTGGGGGAGAGGACGGGGGACTACGCACAGGGCGGGCTCCGCTTTGCTGCGCTCCTGGCGCTGTTTGCCCCGCGTTCCTGGCTGCATACCATAAAGTTGTGAATACTGTATAAGCCACACTTTAACTTTTCACAGTCGGAATTTGGAAGGAAAGTGAGGCTTATATTCAGGCTAATACGATAATCCACAAAACCCAACAACTATGTGTTGACAGCTTAACCACATACACACAAATACAAATTCCCTTACGTAATACCATCTATCAATTTCCAAACATTTTAAAAACATGTATCTTAAAACTAGCCCTACATAGCACCTCAGGTGGCACAATCGTTCAGTGCATCTGGCTGTTAACCAGAAGGTTGGTGGTTCAAGCCCACCCAGAGATGTCTGTGGGCCAGATTCCTGCATTTGTGGGGGTTGGACTAGATGACCCTTGGGTCTCTCGTCCAACTCTTTGATTCTATGATCTATGAAAATCAGACAAGCTGTAAATAGAACTGTGGATTTTATTCATTGGGGCATGTAAAAACATGACATTTCCCTCCCCTCCCCACCATAAACATGTCACAGAAATACACATAGTGGAATTGTCTTGAGAGTCCCATGGACTGCAAGAAGATCAAACCTATCCATTCTTAAGGAAATCAGCCCTGAGTGCTCACTGGAAGGACAGATCCTGAAGCTGAGGCTCCAATACTTTGGCCACCTCATGAGAAGAGAAGATTCCCTGGAAAAGACCCTGATGTTGGGAAAGATGGAGGGCACAAGGAGAAGGGGACGACAGAGGATGAGATGGTTAGACAGTGTTCTCGAAGCTACCAGCATGAGTTTGACTAAACTGCAGGAGGCAGTGGAAGACAGAAGTGCCTGGCATGCTCTGGTCCATGGGGTCACGAAGAGTCGGACACGACTAAACAACAACTGGGGGAGCGTTTATAGGAATTTTGTTTTGCTTCTGTCCTGTGCCTCTTCCTACTAGGGGGAAAACAATGCATGTGAACAAATGAAATAACATGTATACTATCCACCTTGCATGGGTGTAGCAAGGACTTTTGTTGGGGGGGCAAGACTTTCGTTGGAGGGCAGAACCGATGTGATTGGTCAGTTAAGTATTTATCTTGTTTTACTTGATCTCAGGGGGAACATCTGCCCCTCCTGCCCCCACCCGGCTATGCTCATGCTACCTTGGCTAGCAGTGCTACCTGCAGCTGTGCACACTCTGTATGAAAGTCATTATTCACAAGTGTCATATACAGGTACCCTCTAAAAAAACCCCTCCTGCTTCTATTTCTTCCAAAGTGTCATCCATTTAGATAAGATCATCAACACAACCAAATCAGGGGTCAACATAACCATTATCAAGTCTTTCACTCCTTTCAGCTTCACCCAAGCATTGTGAGATGTTCTGGACCAGCTACCAGAAACCCACTGATTTCCAGATGTCATTGCACTACCAATCTCATCACCCTTGATCACTGGCTATGCTTGCTGATGCCAATGGGAGCTGGAGTCCAAGGAAATCCAGAGGTTCCCAGGTACTTCACCCCCATCCCTGATCATGCAGTCTCAAGCCCTTTAGCAAGGGGGTCAGTTATTGGACAACTGGGAACAGGAAATTTAGACCACACCTTCTCCCTGGCTGGCAGCAGGGTGTGAACCGCTACTGCTGCCACAATGCCAAGCTAAAGCAAGTTCCTGAGCTGAGCACAAGGGCCTTCGCATTTGTGTGTAACACTGAAATTGAAAAGCTGCCTTCTCCTTTCAACCTGCTCCCTCAACATTGGTGCAAATGAACCTAATACTACCAGCTCAGCTTAATTTGAACTACAGCTCAGCATGCACAGTCGTAATGAAGGAGAAAGTGCCTCGGGGCGCGAACAGAACGCCTGGAGTCCCCACCACTATGCAGCTATAATCAGCACTTATGCATTCAGGAGTTTCCAGGGCAAAGAACATAACTGCCTGACACCACAATAACAAAACAAAAGAAAAAAGAAAAAGGAGAGGAATAACTTGCTGGGTAGAAGTTTCTTCCGAAAGTTTTAACCACCGATTTCTATAGGAAGGCTTCCAGAGTCACAGCGACCACCTTGCCAGAAAGGTCAGCACGCTACAGGCAAACTAGTAGGCTTCTTCCTGACTGCAGCAGGATTAGCGATAGCTCAGCAACAGAAGAACCAGACTGAAATACCCGTCAACGTACAGGGAAATAATATCTGGGATACAGCAATGTCTGAGCATCTCACCAGATAAAGGAGGGAAATTAAAGGCATAACGAATAGAGACGCCTTTCAAGAAACATGGATCCCTCTCTTGAACTATGTTAATGACCAAAAACAAGACCTTCTTATACCAACTGCTCAATATTCTCAGTGGAAGGGTTACACCAAGTAATATGTTTGAATACTGAATGTGTAAAGTGTATGTCTAGAGCAGTGGTTCCCAACCTTTTTTTGGCCATGCCCCACCTAAGCATCTCTAAAATCCTGATGCCCCCCCCCATTGCCATATAATTCTTATTATTCAAAAAGTGAACTACAGTGGTACCTCGGGTTAAATACTTAATTTGTTCCGGAGGTCCGTTCTTAAGCTGAAACTGTTCTTAACCTGAGGTACCACTTTAGCTAATAGGGCCTCCCGCTGCCGCTGCGCTGTCGCCACACGATTTCTGTTCTCATCCTGAAGCAAAGTTCTTAACCCGAGGTACTATTTCTGGGTTAGCAGAGTCTGTAACCTGAAGCGTATGTAACCCGAGGTACCACTGTACTATTCATGTGGAGGAAGCCTAAAAGGCCATTAACTTGGTCTAAACAAGTTTCCAAATTGTCCCCCTTAAAAATCAAATTGGGCCCCATGTGGGGGGGTGCCTCACGTTGGGAACCACGGGTCTAGAGACAATGGATAAAACAAACACCATTAGCTGTACTGCTGGCTAAGTGTGTGATGGCTATTGTATTTGTATCTGTTTAAAAACCAATAAAATATTTGTGTGGTTGGCCAGCACGTTACCCTGGGTGTGATGCTGATCCACCCTGCTGACCCCCCTGCCCAAGAAGCGTTCATCTGTCTGTCTGCCGGTCTGTCTGTCCAGGGGCACCTCCGTCGTGCATGAAGCGCAACTCGCATCTGAGAAACTTGCTCAGAAGTTGAGCTGCCACTTTTTCGGCGGGTGTGTGCGAGCGCGCGCGCGCAGAGAGAGAGAGCAGCCGGCTGCCCCAGCTGCTGCGGTTACCTGCTGATAAAGCCGTCGCCGTCGCCGTCACAGGTCTGGAAGAGGCGCCTCATCCTCTCCTCCTCGCCGGTGCTGGAAGTGTCGCTGCTGCTACTGGCGGTGCTGCTCAGGCTCACCTCCACCACCACGGCCGGGGCGGCCGCTGCCGCCATCATGCGCTCTTCTCCAGGGGAGCAGGAGGAGGAGGAGGAGGTGGCAACGTCCGCACAAGTCCGGTCCCTAGGAATTCTCCGTCTGTGCTTCCCTCAGCCACAAGCCCGTGTGTGTGTGTGCGCGCGCGCGCGCAAATCCGTCCCGGCCCTACAGCCGTACAAAGCGCGAGGGCCACACAATGCAAACAAGGGGGTGGGGAATCCCAGGCAAGCGCTTCTCCTCGCCTCGCGCACGAATTCAGCGCGCGCCGCCTCGCGCGCCAATCAGCGGCATCCTGGGGATCCGGCGCGCCTTTGCAAGGAGGAGCAGCAGCCGCCCGCCCGCCCGCCCGCCTCAGCCACCTTCTTCTGGCGAAGGGGTCGCGCGCCCCTCGAGGGAGACGCGGGAGAAAAAGGGCCGGAGCTTCTTCTCCGGCGTTTTGCAGAGCACCACTTGGGCTGCTGACCAGCTAGTGGCATAGAAGGAAAAAAACCGCAACTCGCGACTCAGCCCCGACGAGTTTCCCAGATTTGGCTTTGAGCAAGTTCTCTAGGTTCCGCCCCCCCCCTCAAAATCCTAGCCTTCCTCTGAGGTCAACGCAGCATTCATTCATTCGAAGCACAAACTCTCAAAGCGAATCACAACCAAAGTGGCATCAGAAATAGAAGTCATTCTTTACCTTCCCCGCATTTATTTATTTATTTGATTTATAATACAGTACCGCCCTTCATCATAAAATCTCAGGGCGGTTCACAGAATAAAATACAGGATAAAAACAAGTAAATAGGTAAAAACAAAACAGCAAAAGAATAACTCCCCCCTTCCCACATTACCCCCCCCCACTCCTTCCTTGACGTGCAAGGTACCCCTTGCCAGGTAAGATTGGCTAGGGCAGTGGTTTTCAACCAGTGCTGTGGCACCCTGGGGTATGCAAATATGCATAGGGGGGTGCCAAACTGGATCTTTGACCTGGGTGAAATAAAACCTAGTTTCACCCCCTAGCCTCCTCCCCCCCAGCCACCACTCCTCTTCTGGCCATGGGAGTGGAACTGGCTAGGGCTGGAGCCAGGTTTTTCCCCTCCTACCCCTGCAGCCAGGGACCTGGCTTATTAGACTACAGTACAGTATAGTGTAAACATAACTTTTACATGCACTGGGAAATAAATAAAAAAATGTGTGATTACTTGCTTTATTGCGGTTGTGTGGAACCAAACTTGCAATATCTCCAAGGTATGCCTGTATACCTACATCTTAGGACAGGGGTCACCAACCTAAGGCCCATGGGCCAGAAGCAGCCCACAGGTTGTTTGACCGGCCCACAAGCCGCCCCCGAACCTAGTTGCCCACTCGCGCACTGCGCTAAACCAGCACCGCGTGGTGCAGGGACTCACTTCCATGGTGCCGGAAATCACGTCTGCGCATGCACAGACGCCGGAAATGGTTGGTGTGATCCAGCCCACGGAGGGATCTCCGTGGGGCCGATCCGGCCCAGGCAAGATAAACCTTGCTGACCCCTGTCTTAGAAGAACACGTCATGCATCTGTACTGTAATCCATGAATGCTTTTGTCATTAAAAATGTTAGTCTGTAAGGTATCGCAGGACATGTTTTTGTAGCAAACTTTGCATTTCTCATTCAGGTCATATATTGGATGGAGAATATTTCTCTAAAATGTCAAATAGATATATGACAACATGTTATATCATTCTTGTTTGACTATCAGGTGGTTTAATTAGGTATTAGCAGCTGGCAAGCTGGACATCTGACTGGGACTGACTGTTGTCAAGGGAGCACAGCCTGGGTCACTGATCTCTCCCTGCTGACGCTGTGTTACAGCCCAGTGGAAGAATGCAGAAGCAGCAGCGAAGACGCATAGCATCAAAAGCAGAGTCCCCTCACTTGGGGCCTCCAGCAACCTGGCACTGGGCCTGGGTTTTGTTTACATTAATAAACATTTTCCTCAAGTACAAAAGTTTCCTCAGATCTCTTATTTGCTTCTTCTGCCAAGTCACTTTGCCTGATTCAGTTCTGTTTAGCGAAATGTGCTAAACTGACCCAAAACAGTCACATTGATATTTCACAGGTCTAATCTCAGTGTAAATCAGCCAAAGCCCCATAAATATCTTTTGTATTCTGAAGTGGTGTCCACTCACTCATCTCCAGCCAGCCAGAACCTGGTACATTTTATTTTCCTCAGGTCAGACAAATTATTTATTTCCTGCCCTTCACCTTAAGCTCCCAAGGCAGATTACAACATTAAAACACGTTTAATCAACCTACAATCATAAAAATAATGTCCTCTCCTGAGCCATCACCAACCCAAGTCTCTGAGGGCAGAGGAACTAGCAAGAGCCTCCCCTGAGCCAATTTTGTTGTACGTGTAAGAGACAAAAGGCCCATAACTTTCGACATACTCCAATGCTTTAGAAATGAAAAACAAGTGACTTGCTAACATCTTTGGTTTCTCTTTGATAGCACCATATTTTCAATTATACCCCAGAATTTGCCATGAACTAGAATTCTACAATCTGCTATAAAATTAGGTAAAAGAGCAATTCAGATTATGGGATCCACCTTATTGTGTGGCAGTTACCACACAAATAAATGCATCAAACTATTTAAAAATGATCCACAGATGGTATTTAACTCCTAGTAAATTGGCTAAGATCTACAAATCAGAATCAGATGCGTATTGGAAATGTAAAGAAGTGGAGGGAACCTTTTTTTTCATATGTGGTGGACATGTAAAAATGTACAAGTATATTGGGAAATTGTTTATAATGAGTTGAAAAAAAATGTTTAAAATTACTTTCCCAAAAAAACCAGAGTCCTTTTTATTGGGAATAATCCAGACAGAAATTCCTAGGTGTCGGAAAAAGTTATTTATGTATGCTAAATCTGCGGCCCATGTTTTGTTAGCCCCCAAATGGAAAGTGAGCGAGGTCCCAACTAAAGAGGATTGGCAAATTAAGTTGACAGAATATGCAGATTTAACACATAGAATAAGAGGGCAAGAATTACGTATATTTAAAGAAGAGTGGAAAACATTTATTGAATATATGGAGAATAACTGTACACAGCTGAAAATGCTGGCAGCATTAAGATAAATTCAACAGTGTAAATAATATTTGATATAAAAGTGGAAAACTGATTTGAATGGTTATAGTAAAATATGCAGGAATGTAGGATATGTAAAATGAACCATGGAAGGGGAAGAAGGGAAGGGCTGGTGACATCTGGAGGAGGAGAATCCAGGGGTCAGAGGTGGGGAGAGGCCAACACTCAGTTGGGAGGGCTTTCTGCCTCTTCATTGCTAGATGTCACAGAAAGGGAGGGGCAGCCATCTGAGTCAGCCTCTTCTTTACCCCTTGAGAGAATGGGGGGGGGCTGTAGGAGGCAGAGGTGGCAGGAGAGTCAGAGGGACTGACTCAGATCCAAACCACCTGCAGGAACGCATACTTGTAAGCAGGGCTGTCAAGCATATGCAGCGCCGGGGTGCAAAGATCCACCCGGCGCCCCCCCCCAGGTTGCCCAGTCCCAGGCGTGCAGGAGGGCAGAGCCGGCCAGCCGCCTCAGTGTCTCGCTGGCTTGGTCACCCCCACACTCGCAGCGCAGAGCCACCCGCAGCAGAAGAGCCCACCATGACGCTCTAACCGATGGGCAGGCTCTTCCCTGGACTCAACTCTCAGGCCCCGGACTCTCAGCCTGGCGCCCCTGAGAGCCCAGCGCCCAGGTGCCCTGCACCCCTAGTGCCTATGGGTAAGACTTGTACTTGTAAGCACAGTTTTCTTGCTTGGGGTGAGTATCAGACTGGTCACATCCAGCTTTTAAAATGTCAATTTAGAGGTTGTGTATCAAGTATTGGAATAACGTATTAGCTACTGCTTAGCAGTTTGAAAGCACGTCAAAGTGCAAGTAGATAAATAGGTACTGCTCCGGCGGGAAGGTAAACGGCGTTTCCATGCGCTGCTCTGGTTCGCCAGAAGCGGCTTAGTCATGCTGGCCACATGACCTGGAAGCTGTACGCTGGCTCCCTCGGCCAATAAAGCGAGATGAGTGCCGCAACCCCAGAGTCAGCCACGACTGGACCTAATGGTCAGGGGTCCCTTTACCTTTACCTAGCTATGCATCTTATAATTTTGCTTACAGACTTCTAAATCTTGTGTCCTGCGCTTTGGACTAAAGCTGAGACTGTGAATGAAACTTTTGGGTTCCTAAAAACACACATGGATATACCTTCTCCGCCCAAATGCATGGCAATTGCAACCACCCTACATACCTTGAGCTCACAGACAGCATCTAAACACCAAGGAACCATGCCACCAGACATGGGTCCATGGGAAAGAAAGCTTTAATGCAAGCAGGGAGGTGGGCACCCAACAACAGAAGCATCCAGCAACAGCAGCAGCCTGCTCCACTACCCACTACACACACACTAATGTGGGACCTCCCCTCATGTGGTGACAAAGCCAGAACCACAACAGACGCCAGGGACCTCTGTCTGTACTAGTGACCGTGGCAGTGATGGTAGCAGCAAAGAGGTCCCCAATCACAACCATGGCCTGCATTGCATCCAACAGTCACATCCCCACTGGGCAGCAATCCAATCACCTGAAACACCTTTCATTAAGCTACAGGCTATTTCCCAAGAAGTTTTAGAGGTAATAATTAGACTGTGTGTAACAGCAAACAGGTTATCCTGGCACTGAAACAGTTTCGCTACTACTGACACGGCATCATTATATTTTTTTAATCCTTGGTTGCTGTGCTTCACTGCATAGAAACACAGAACTGTAGAGTTGGAAGAGACCGTGAGGGTCTCTAGTCCTACCCTCTGAAATGCAGGAATATTTTGCCCAACGTGGCGCTCGAAACCACAACCTTGAGATTAAGTGTCTCATGCTCTACCAACTGAGCTATATGATCAAAATCAGATCTCTTCTCCTGCACGTGTTCTTTAATTACATCCAGAAAGGGCCTCCAGTAATCTCCCGATTGCAATATATTTTCAGAGCACCTGCTTCTTGACAGTGATCACATCCACACCATATCTTTAAAGCAGTGTGCCGTTCAACCAGTGTGCCGTGGCACCCTAGGGTGCCATGAAGGATGGTCTGAGTGCCGCAGGCAACACTGGCCTCTGTCCCTCTTTCCTTCCCTCCCTCCCCTGATGCCCTCTTGGACCTCTACCTCCCAAAGGCTTGCATGGCTGTTTGTTGCAGCAGCCCTGGCTACAAGCTCTCCAGGCGAATGGTGCCTCTGGGGCTGGCCTAGGAGTGCTGGCTGCCAGGAGCTGAGGTGGCCTTGCAGTAAGCAAGCAAGTAGGCAAGGGAGCCTAGTTGGCTAGTCCACCAGCCCTTGCTGTTTGGAATGGACATACAAGTGGGAGACAGGGCAGGCAGGCAGGCAGGCAGGCTCTGTGCTGGCCTTTCTTGTGTTTGCTGTGTGCAAGGCTTTCCTGGAGCTGAGTGCCCAGTGCTGAAAGGGAGCCTTTCCACCATGCAGGGCTGGAAGCACCCTCTACTGCCTCCTGAGGTAAGGTGCTAGCTAGCCTCATGTTCACCTCTGGCCAGTCTCCTTTGGGCCACTAAGGCTGGGGGCATCCTCTTCCTTGTGGGTCAGGATGAAGAGGCACCTCTCTTTTGGACAGCGGGGTGGGGGAGTGCCTCAGAAAGAATGTAGTTGGCCAAGGGAGCTGTGGACTCAAAAAGGTTGAAAACCTCTAATTTAAAGCATTCTTGTATCACTTTAACAGCCTTGGCTTCCCCTAAATTTTTGAAACTTACAAACCCTTAACAAACAATAGGTCGCAGGATGCTTTGAGAAAATCCCAAAGTGGTATAAGACACATCATATGGAAATTGCCTTCTTGTATTTGCTTTGGAAATTTCTTAGTTAAGGCAATATTCCACATTTGTTGGTACCAATATCCCATAATGTTAACATTGTCCATCACCTTCCTACATCTCACAACGGTTAAACATGCTGCTGCAAATAGGAATCTGAGAAGTTCCTTGTGTATGACATCCTCCCTCACAGCATGCAAAGAAATTGAGAAATAATGAGGCTAACCTTTTGGAAGGCACAGTCTCAGAAAGCCCAAATGACGCGACTGGACCACCACATATGGAAATATGTTCCTACATCTCTCCTACATTTTTGACCAATGGTGTTTAGTTGTTTTATTAGGGTGTAGAGAGATAATTACCACCTTTATATTATCATAAGCATTCTCTTTTAATCAGGCTTAGTTTGAGGAGCATGGCATCTTGTCCCAATCAGCACTCCACTTGGTCTGATCAATGGCAGTATTCAAGTCCTGTACCCACAGCATTTCAGACATTAAACCACAAGCAGATTCTCAAAGGATGTTCATACCCATGTTGCTTGCAATGATGGATCTGATGGAACCAGAACCAGTTCCACTTCTGTAAGTTTCTATTAGATTTGTGTGCTGGGTAAAAGTAAGCAACTTTTGTCTCCACTAGGTGTTTTGAAACCTGCTTAATCCCAACATTTATATTGTCATAATTTGTCTGCACAGTAAAAATTAGGATGTTATAAAAATGGAACGGGAAGTAAAAGTGGTGAAACCAGTTCCTTAAAGTACTGGCTGTCACACTGTCCTAAGCACTATTGCTTTGTAGGCATAAAGGAGAAGTATAAACAAGATGCTCACAAGGAGTCTTATAGGGTTTTCAGTTGAAGGAGAGGAACATTGGGGGAAGAGGCTGCTTTTCAAACCTGCCATTTCCCCTCCACTATCCCAGCTGCTTTTTCACCTGGGAGAAAAGAAAGCCGTTCCTGTGTTTTCTCCTGTGGGAAGAAAACAGATTTGGGGATGGATGAGTTAAGTGAAAAAATGACAAACTAGAGAGAGTTAAACCTCTCACTCTACGTGAGGGAGGTTCATCAATGGGCAAAGAGGTCTGCTGTGGAGGCAAAAAAAGAAACTGTAGCCTTCATGTAGATTCTCATCTGACAACTACCTTTGTGTACATTTTACTGTGATGTGTTTTTGTGAAGTCATGACTAGTAGCTACTTCCCAGCCTGTGTGCAGTTGTGACAGGCAATGATCTACATGTGGTTGTACAATATTTCCCATGTGTAAGTAATATTTACCTGAGGAAAACAAGATTTATAAAGGGTATTCCTTAGCTGCCTGCAGACAAAATTGGTCCTTAGTAGTGACACCAAGAAAAGGGGTTAATAGGGGATTTATAACATATGCTTTAAACTTGGACCCCTAGTTTCAGTATTTTATTATAAAAAGTAAAAATACTTTATAGCGTGGCATCCAAAAGCATACAGAAAGTTAAGGATGAATCCTAAAAATCTCTTTTTCCGGGGTACCCATTGAATTCAACAGCTTACTTCAGAGTAGACATAGGATTGTGCTCTTGGTCTGTTTCAATCAAAGGAGAAGATGGATGAAAAGAGATGATAAAATGAACACAGCATGTGAGCACATGAAAAATGGCTTCATGTTTCCAAACTGCAAAAAAAGAAGATCAAAGACTTTTTAACATCTTTCAAAGCTTCGGTTACAGACATGGATTCATTTTTTATTGAGCTGGAGTTTATAGGTAACATGTTTATAGGTTTCAAAACTGCTCTGGCACTAGGTGGTTTATCTATAAAGCCTTTCAAGACACAGTGCAAAGGAAAATTCTGTTATTAATGAGCATTGGTGTGAGATGCTTACAGTTAACAGTATGTTTGTTTCTCTTATCGTACTTTATTCCATACAAGTGAAATTTCCTAAGCGATAAGTGGCATAGATTTAAAGAAGAAAGTAGGTGCCAAGAAATGTTGTTAATGCATTTCGGCTTCATTAACTACAAACCGCAAAACCTGGGATCCCCTTGAAACTGATGCCAAAGTTCTGCAATCGTTTTGTGGTGTTTCACAGCAAAATGCCTGCGTTTTGCAGCACCCCACACACAAACAGAGTAATTGACATTCAAACCCGGGGGGGGGGGTCACCAAAAACCCAATGTCCAATTCTCCAAACTGGTGCCAAAACATCGGCAAAAGTCCTGCAGCAGCCTTTCGTGACCAAAACACCACGTTCTGCATTGGACCCCAAAACGGAGTACTCAGCACCCTAACCTGCGGCGTCACAGGATCACCAAAAGCCTGATGTTGTCCGATTCACTCCAAACTGGGGAGGTTGCACCGATGCATCCCCAGCTGTTGCTTTTGACTACCTGTGATATCACAAAAGGACACGGTGGCTGCATGGGAAAAGGCAATTATTACTGGGATGGGGAACAAATGGAAGAAGCTCAGAAGAAAGAGGCTCAGGGAAAGCTAGGGTAGTTGTAGATGTTCAGAAGACCAAGGTTCAGTGTGAGAACTATGATGAGCCACAAAGACTCATGTTTGACTCTCACTTCTGCTCACAATAAAAGGCCATTGGGGTGGGTGGGGAATTGTTAGGAGACACTTATTTCCCTCACAGAGCTACAATTCCCTGTGAGGAAGGTCTGACTGTTAAACCAATCTGGAAACAGTAGCTTTGTGAGGGAAACAGGCGTCTCTTAACAAGTTTCGGCAACCCCTTCAGGGTGCCAACTAAAATAAAATGGGGGGCAGGTATGTCCCACCCCTCATAATTGATCACGTAGTACAGTGCACACACACCATTTGGGGAGCCCCTCGGAATTGGCTCCTATGGCTCCCCTTTAAATTATAGTTCCCAGGAATTTGGGGAGTTAAACTGTGACGGTTTAAGAGTGCTTTGAATGTACAATGCTGATAAGGCCCTACAGTTGCTAGACTGGCACCACCATGTGGCAAATGTATACTATACAACCAAACGGAGAGAGCCTCAAATCCCTTGTGCAGTGCTCACAGAACTAGAGGTGGTTCTGCTGCATGTGACAGCAGTATTGCTCCCAGCTGTGAACACACATTTTCCTATTGGTTACCTGCAGGCAGGAGCTGCAGTTTAGTTCTGACGCTTTAATTTTAACGGGAAAATCTCACACTGTGTGCACAGGGTGCCAATTCCAAACAGCCGCAGATGGGATTGGGCTGTGTGTGCAAAAAAAGCATGGTAAATAAATTAAGTAAAGAAAAAAAAAAACTTAAGTAAAATTAGAAATTGTAGGAAGATTTTGACAGATTTTTTCTGAGCACTCGGGGTCAAAAGAAAGCAATTTAACAACTGTTGTTGAGACATTTCATTCAAAAATTGCTAGACCAGAGGTTTTCAAGCTTTTTGAGTCCACAGCTCCCTTGACTAACTACATTCATTCTGAGGCACCCCTGTGGGGCTCAGGAGCCCAGTTGTGTCACCCCTTTCCTGCAAAGCTGGCAGCCTCTCACCCTTTTTCAAACATCCTCCCTTGTGGAGTGTTCCCTCAGCCTCCTCTCCTCTCCCCTCTCCTTGAGAGTCCTCTGGGCAGCTGCTGCTGCCACCCCTGGTCTCTGAGCTGCCCCCCACCTGCCCCAAAGAGAGGAGCCTCCTCCCACTGACCCACAAAGGCACGGGAAGAGGATGTTCCCAGCCTTAGTGGCCCAATGGAGTCTGGCCAGAGCTGAACATGAGGCTAGCACCTTACCTCGGGAGGCAGCAATGGGGGCTCCCGGCCCTGCATGGCAGAAAGACATGCAGCTCCCAGGAAGGCCTTGCCTACAGCAAACACAAGAAAGGCCAGCACAGCGCCTGCCTGCCTAGCCTCTCACTTGTCTGTCCATTCCTCAACAGTAAGGGCTGACGGACTGGCTGGCTGGGCTCCCTTGCCTGCCTGCTTGCTTACTCCAAGGCCACCTCAGCTCCCGGCAGCCAGAACCCCCTGGCCAGCCCCAGAGGCACCATTCACTTGGGGAGCACATTGTAGCCAGGGCTGCTGCAACAAACAGCCATGCAAGCCTTTGGGAGGCAGAGATGTGAGAGGGCATCAGAGGAGGGAGGGAAGGAAAGAGGGACAGAGGCCAGTGTTGCCACCGCACACTGGTTGAACAGCACACTGCTTTAAAGATATGGTGTGGATGTGATCACTGTCAAGAAGCAGCTGCTCTGAAAATATATTGCAATCAGATTACTGGAGGCCCTTTCTGGATGTAATTAAAGAACACGCGCAGGAGAAGAGATCCGATTTTGATCATATAGCTCAGTTGGTAGAGCATGAGACTCTTAATCTCAGGGTTGCAGGTACGAGCCCCACAGTGGGCAAAAGATTCCTGCATTTAAGGGGGTAGAGGCAGATGAGTATCTTTCTGCTCCCCCCGCCCCATACATTCTGGCCACGCCCTTGTTTTCTGGGTTCCCCCAGCTAGGAATGTTGGTGTATTCAGGACGGCTGCAAGGCGTATAAAGAGAAATCAAGCCGCCCGGGTTGTCCTAACATTATTGCCTCCTACGATAAACTCAAATCTAGGCTCGGCGTCCCAATCACCCAGACGCGCAACTTGCGTTTGGGCGCGCCCGCCCGCTCGCCCTTTCGCCGCCTGCTTTCCCCGCCCAGGAGTCCGTGACGTCATCGCGGCCCGCCTCAGGCCCTGCCCCTCGCTTCGCCCCTCCCCCCTCCCCTCAGAGGAGGCGCGTCCTCCTTCCGCTTTCCCTCTCGCGTACGGGCGCCTCCGGCCTAGCCCGGCCCCCTCTAGCGGTGCCTCTGAGCCCGAGCTCCTCCTCAGCTTTCGGGGGATGTCGCGCCCGAGCAGCGTCTCCCCGCGGCCTCCCGGAGGGGGCGGCGGTCCTCCCAGCAGGGGCCCGTCCACCGCCGCCGCCTCGTCCTCCTGCTCCGGCAGCGGCCGCTCCAAAGGGCTGAAGGACATTCGCATCGACGAGGAGGTGAAAATCGCCGTGAACATCGCTCTGGAGAGGTTCCGCTATGGGGACCAGCGAGGTAACGGTTCCCCTTCCCTTCCCCCGAGGGTGGAGGAGGGGGTGGACCTGCAAGCGGCCCCAGTCGAAAGAGGCGGGTTTGTTATGGTGGGTCTTCGCGGGTCAGCGCCTAGTTAGTCCATCAGGGCGCCGAAGGAGTCCAGGCAACCAGTTGTAGTCGAGAACAGGGTTGCTTTTCAGTAAGCCTATTAAAACCGAATTATTATTACTTTTTTGCAGCCCTGTGCTGAACATCACCTGCCAGCACTAGCTCTGCTGCATCCTTGGTGAAGGCATACAGTGGTACCTCGGGTTACATATGCTTCAGGTTACAGACTCCGCTAACCCAGAAATAGTAGATCGGGTTAAGAACTTTGCTTCAGGATAAGAACAGAAATTGGGCTTCGGCAGCGCGGCGACAGCAGGAGGCCCGATTAGCTAAAGTGGTGCTTCAGGTTAAGAACAGTTTCAGGTTAAGAACGAACCTCCGGAACGAATTAAGTACTTAACCTGAGGTACCACTGTATTAGTCTTGATCTTGCTTTTGTATGTACCTGCCAACTCCTAGAGGCTATGGGGTTTTGGCCCCACAAAATGAAATGTTTGAGGGCGCCGTCCCTCCCAAAAAGTTGATGGGCATTGCTATGATGTGCACTATAACATGTGATTATGTGGGGTACAGCTTACGTGCCACCCCCTATTTTATTCAAGTTGGCACCTCTGCTATAGATGTGGTGGCGTGGCTGTATGCATCCATAGGGAGCTGTCTTGCCATGGGTCAGATCACCGTTCCTTCGTGCTGTCTCAGTGGCTGGCAGCAACTCCATGGGCTAGGGAACTAACCTTTGTCCTTTTCCAGTCTGGCACCCATCTTCAGCTCATATATGACCCTTGACCCCCAAATGTTGCTGGAGTTCAATTCATCGTCCCTGACCAACTGGTCATACTGGATTGGGTTGATGCAGAACTACAGGTCCCCATTGTCTACTATAGGGTGCAGTTTACCCCACTGGCCTCTTTAGTCCAGTGCTGCTGTTTGAGATCCTTTCACTGGAGATGATGGGGACTGAACCGGGGATCATGGGCAGGCAATGCAGGAGTTGTATCACTTATGTAGAAGAGGCCCTTCCCATATTTAAGTATGGCATATACCATTTTTATCTGTAATCTGACTTGAACCCTGTCAAGGGAAAAAGACAGACTATAAATAAAATAATAATACGGCATGCATATTTGCTTTTCATGCACTTATATAGCAAAACCCAATGAATGGAGCATAAAAAATGGTCATGCTGGATCAAACTAAGTTGCTGCACTATGTTTCTAGCAGCAGCAAGCTTTATACTGTAGAAAGATCACTAGCAAAGTGATGGCTAGCTCATAGTTTGTCCTCTACCTCTGGACATACCAGAACAGCAGCTAATAGCTGTGGCAATTACCATAGTAGTAGTAGTAATAATAATAATAATAATAATAATAATAATAATAATAAATTTTATTTATATCCCGGCCTCCCCAGCCGAAGCCGGGCTCAGAGCGGCTAACATCAAATGTATAACACATTAACATAAAATCAGACAATCAATTAAAATAAATCCTCAAATCAGATCAGGATCAGAATAAAATCCAATCAGATGGCAACCCGCAGATTAGGGTTGGGGACCTTAAATGTTTAAATGCTTAAATAGCTTGTGGTAGTAACTTTCACACACTAATTGTTTTAAACTATGCATTGTGTGAAATATCTCCTTTGTTCCTCCTTCATCTTTCTTTCTGATCAAATTCAATACATAGTGTGATCCTATTCATATCTACCCTGAAGTAAGCCTTATTCCCCTTACCTCTCTCACCCTGACCTCGCCACTGTGATCCATGCCACGGTCACCTCCAGGCTTGATTATTGTAACTCACTCTACATGGGGCTGCCCTTGAAACTGACCCAGAAACTCCAGTGGGTGCAGAATGCCATGGCAAGACTCCTTACGGGGTCTTCGCCTTGGGATCACATTCACCCAGTGCTATACCAGCTGTACTGGCTTCCGGTGGAGTATAGGATCAGGTTTAAGGTGCTGGTTTTAACCTTTAAAGCCCAATAGGGCCTAGGACCCTCGTACCTACAGGACCGCCTCTCCTGGTATGTCCCTTACGGTCTGCAGATAACAACACCCTGAAGATTCCGGGCCCCAGGGAGATTAGACTGTCCTCAACCAGAGCCAGGGCCTTTTCGGCCGTGGCTCCGGCCTGGTGGAACATTCTCTCACAAGAGACCAGGGACCTGCGAGATTTGACATTCTTCCACAGGGCCTGCAAGGCAGAGTTGTTCCGCCAGGCCTTTGGTCAGGGTTCAGTCTGACTCATTTTCTTGTTGTATAAGAACAAGCATGAAGGAGGTTTCCCAGCCTGCTCACAGGTCCTTATAATATCAGTGGAAACAGTTGGTCCTGACGAGTATTAACCGCTTTCAATTTTAACCTGAGGATTGTCATTTGTCCAGTTTTAACTTTAACTTTAATTTATTTCAATTAATTTTGGGATGCATTTTAATCAATTGATTGCTTGTTTTTGTGCATATTGTATTATTTATATGATGTTAGCCGCTCTGAGCCTGGCTCTGGTCGGGGAGGGCGGGGTACAAATAAAAATTTATTATTATTATCATTATTATTATTATTGAATTCAATGGGACTGAGTTCTATGAGAGTGAGTGCAGTTCTTAGTTTATCGTCCTTAAAAGTCATTGCTTGTTTATTCAGGGGTGATGTATTTCTACTATGTAGACATAGTTGTATGTAGGCACATACATGTATGCTTTCTCTTTCAGAAATGGAATTTCCTTCCTCCTTGACTAGTACTGAAAGAGCCTTCATTCATCGACTGAGTCAATCGCTTGGTTTGATTTCTAAAAGTAAAGGGTAAGTAAGTACCTTGCTAAAAATACTTACCCATGTGAATGGGAAAATAGGCATCTTTCTGGCACAATTTTGTTTTTCAGTTTTGAGTATTGTCTTGAGGTGGAATTCTTCCTGAGAGTCTTTGTGTTCTGTTGTTTCAAACAGTTCTGTGTAGAAGTACTGCCAGGGTGCGGTGAGATATCTGTTGACACTGCTGAAGCAGATTCATAATTTGGCCTTTGCCCGATTACCTGTGATAAGTAGTTGTTCCTTTAAGGTGACCACATATGGCTTCCAAGTTTGGACTGTGTAGCCATTGCTGCAGTAACTTTTTCTTCTGCATGCTACCTACTTTGTAAGGCAGCAGAGATTGGCTGCTGCAGCTGTAATGCCACTGCTATACCAAAGATTTTGGAGCACACCAGGTTGAGGAAGGCTGTGTCTTGCTCTGAGGGGTTAGGGTTCTTATATGTTGGGCTACTAAACTGAGATATGATTGTCCCTAATGAGACTATTGTGTCAGGCAGTGAAGAGATTTGAAGCATACCTACTGGAAAACAAGACCCAACCAAATCAGATTTGAAGTTAGATGTTTACTATGCCGAACATTAAGCCACCTTGATACTTTGTCTTTATGCAGGTACTTAATCCAGGATCAAAAATCTATGGCATGTAGCATCTGAAACAATATTTCTGAGTCAGTGTAGCTGACACTGACTCAAAAAGCACAGCAATGTGTTTAATTCACGTATTTGGGGAGTCCTAGCATATCTTAATGTTTTGAGAAACCTGCTTCACTGTGGGTCTTATAATTCACCTGTGTTTGTAAAGGTTACTCCTGGTGCTGAATATGAAATGATTCTTCCTTTTTTATTTTTTAGGAAAGGTGCAAGCAGATATCTAACTGTGAAGAAAAAAGATGGCTCAGAGTTGGCACATACAGTAATGACATGCAATTTGATTCCCAACACAAAACATGCTATCAGAAGCCTTGTACAGCGATTTCCTGTCACCAATAAAGAGCGCACCGAGCTTCTACCAAAGACAGAGAGAGGAAATGTTTTTGCTGTTGAAGCTGGTGCGTTGAGTATATTCTGTTAAGAAATATAATGGTGAATTGTGAAGGGAAAATTTATTGCGTACCCCAAGCTATGCTTGGAAACTCTTGGAGGTCTATAGCTTATGTGTGTATAATGACACAATTACAACTGCATAATGTTTTTGCAAATGTGGTTGCCATATAAGTGCTGGTGCGTTCATTGCATTTTGATGGTGCTGCACTACCTTGTTGCCATTTTATTTTTGGAAAGAATTGCTAGGTGGAGAATGAAAGCGCTTCCCCTTGCAAGCTGTGCATTCTGATAACATGAGGTACACCTAAATGAGCACGATCATGCACTAGCTTTTCAAATTAAAATGCGTAAAAATTGTGGCACATCAAACCAAAGGAGACCATGACTTGGTTCTCCTGTGCCCCCTCTTTGAACAGAAGGCACTGTAATAGAGCCAGAGGCTCCCATTCATGGGAGGACAAGCCATTTTTGCCAGTTCACTTTTCCCAGGCAGCCACACAGTTTCTGGCAAGTCCCCCAGCCCTACCAAGCAGATTTTGAGGAAGGAATTTGAGGTGAACATTCTACCTTTCCTGTCTGTAAGCCAGGAGTATTCTGTAAGCAGATATGGATATCGGGTGGACAGTGAGAAAATGTAAACTAAGAGACAAATACAGGGCTCTTCCTGTGATGCTTCCAAAGCATTTTTATACTTGCCTAGCCGTGTAAAAGGACCATTTTCTCTCTAGAAAACATGCATTTCTTCTTACGGTAGACTGAAGCTCAATGGTATGATCTACAGTTTTGCTGTGTTATGGAGCACTGTGGGATGCTGTGCTAAAGCCATTTCAACCCCACCAAACCCTATGCATGCAAAACGATTGGGAGATTGTGTGGTTCAGCGGCCAATGAAGAAATAGCCTTTTAAAAGACTTAACAAGAACGGTCATTAACAGCTTTCAGTAAGGACCAAAGTTTGTGACATGCTATGTCGCAGGTGTTCAGAGCAGCCACAGCAGCACTAATAGTTGTGCAGCTGCTAAGCTGCAACCTCACGTTTGGCTGTAAACATGGGCAGAGCTAAATGTGTAAGTGAAGCATACCATTTCTAAAGATAAAAGCCTTGTTTGTGCTTAGCACTGAGTACTCCCCAACCCCTGTGTAGTGATATAATTATGTGCTGTTAGCACGGTTGTTTACTTCCCCCTCCCCTGGGGGGAAAAACGTAATCTTGATTAGTTTGCTAGGAAGTATTCAATTTTGCATACTTAAAGACTGGGCGCGCATCTGTTTAAATTAATAGCAAGTTTGGTGCAGTCATCACTTTTGTCTTTTCTTAGAGAATAGAGAAATGAGCAAAACAAGTGGGCGACTTAACAATGGCATCCCTCAAATCCCAGTGAAACGGGGAGAATCTGAATTTGATTCGTTTCGGCAGTCTCTACCAGTTTATGAAAAGCAGGATGAAATTGTTAGAATTATTAAAGAAAATAAAGTTATTTTGATTGTGGGGGAAACTGGATCAGGAAAAACTACTCAGGTATGTATTCTATCAGAATTTGAAATGGAAAGATCTTTTGAATTGCTTATTTACAAATTCCAAAATAGTTTAAATCTCAAGTACTGTATTTTTCGCCCTGTAGGACGCACTTTTTCCCCTCCAAAAATGAAGGGGAAATGTGCGTGCGTCCTATGGGGCGAATGCAGGCTCCTTGGCTTCAGCGATAGCAACGTGAAGCCAGAAGAGTCTGCTCTTTGAGGCTGGCGGTGGGGGAAAGCAGCGCTTCCCCCCATTGCCAGCCCCAGAGGATGGGGGGGCAGCGGGAAGGCACGCAACGCCTTCCTGCTACTCTCCGACCCAGCTTTGAGGCTGGCGGTGGGGGAAAGCAGCGCTTTCGACAAGCTGGGTCGAAAAGCCCGCAGGAGCCGTGCGCTCTTTAAAGGGGCTGCGCGGCTTCTGCTGGGCTTTCTACGAGGTGAAAATTTTCCCCTCCGCAGCTCTGGGAGCAACGGACAGGCTGCACGCAGCCTGTGCGCTACTCCAAGACCTTCTTCCTGCTTTTGTGGGGGGTGGCGGAATTCCCCCACCTCCCGCAAAAGCCCACAGGAGCCGCGGGCGACTCCTGCGGGCTTTTCGACCAGGAGGGAGAATGGAATGAAACGGCCAGTCAGCCCCTTCTCCCTCCTTGGGGAAAAGCCCCCAAGAGTAGCGCGCTCTTTAAAGGCTGCAAGGCTCCTGCGGGCTTTTCTACGAGGTGGGGGAATTCCCCCAACTCGTAGAAAAGCCCGCAGAAGCCGAGCAGCCTTTAAAGAGCGTGCGGCTTTTGCCTGCTTTTGCGGGAGGTGGGGGAATTCCCCCATCTCCCGCAAAAGCCCACAGGAGGGAGAAGGGACGGACTCGGCCAGTACGTCCCTTCTCCCTCCTTGGGGAAAAGCCCGCAGGAGCCGCGCAGTCCTTAAAGAGCGCGCGGCTCTTGGGGGCTTTTCCCCGAGGAGGGAGAAGGGACTGACTGGCCGTTTCAGTCCCTTCTTCCTCCTGGTCGAAAAGCCCGCAGGAGTCGCCCGCGGCTCCTGTGGGCTTTTGTGGGAGGTGGGGGAATTCCGCCACCCCCCACAAAAGCAGGAAGAAGGTCTTGGAGTAGCGCACAGGCTGCGTGCAGCCTGTCCGTTGCTCCCAGAGCTGCGGAGGGGGAAATAATATTTTTTCCTTGATTTCCCCCCCCGAAAACTAGGTGCGTCCTATGGGCCGGTGCGTCCTATAGGGCGAAAAATACGGTATTTAGTTTTGTCTACTAATGGAAATACACTTTCATTTTGATGACTTATTTTTTCTGGTTACTTATAAAGTTCCAACAACTTTGATTTCTTATGCATTTTACTACTGAAGCATCTTTTTGCAGAAAACTGATATCTACTAAGGACACTTGGAGTGGGTTTGGCTGGACCACATTCTCAGTTGGTCGTAATAAATTGTGTCCTGGTTCACATGTCATCCTAAGTTAAAATATTGCTTAGCAGGACTGCTTGATCATGTGGGCTTCCAGAGAAAAGCTTGAGCTGTTTTGCTCTTGCCTGGTCCGTGGTTTGGCCTAGTACGTCGTCTGAACAGGTGCTTGTGGTTAAGTTCTCTCTTCACCCACCAGGAGCTGTAACCAAAAGTCCTGGTTTGTACAAGATACTGAGTTAGCTTTTGGCTTTGATTGGCATGGCATAGCAGCATAAAGAACATCTTCTCCAGTAGTCTGCACAGATTGGCTCAGTATTATGTGTGAACTGGGCCTCTTGTGAGGAGGGTGCAGATTACAACTTTTTCAACGCTAATCTAAAATCTCTGTGTTCAGATTCCCCAGTTTCTACTTGATGACTGCTACAAAAACGGAATACCATGTCGCATATTTTGCACTCAGCCAAGACGTTTAGCAGCAATTGCTGTGGCTGAAAGGGTTGCTGCTGAGAGAAGAGAGAAGATTGGGCAGACGATTGGCTATCAAATCCGACTGGAAAGCAGGTCCTGCCAATATTGCTTGCAGTTTTGGATAGAAAGTGTTTTAGAAACATTTAGAAAAATGTGAGACAATGGAGCAGAAATGTATTACTGTCTTACCTTGGAAGTCGAACAGAATCCATTCCAGAAGTCCGTTTGACTTCTGAAACATTTGGAAACCAAAGCGCGGCTTCTGATTGGCTGCAGGAAGTTCCTGCAGCCAATCAGAAGCCACGGAAGCCTTGTCAGATGTTTGGCTTCCAAAAGAACGTTTGAAAACCGGAACATTCACTTCTGGGTTTTTTTATCTTTCTGGAGCTGCAACATTTGACTCCCAAGGTGTTCGGGAGCCGAGATACGACTGTACTTGCAAATAAAAATTTAACAGGGTAATTACCTGCTCCCCCTGTTCTTTTAGCCTTTGGGGCTCTTCCTTTCAGAGGTAAGGCAGGTAGCCACGAGGGGTTCCAAATGTGGCTGCTATGCTGTTTTGCACAGCTCACCTCTGATGGCACCTGCAATTCCTTTATGAACCTCCTCAAAAGTCAAAGCCATCTGCTGAATCTCTGCCTTTCTAAGTTAAGTGGGCCCCATGCCCCCAGTACAGTGCTCCATTTATCAAATGCTCACCACAGGAATGCTTGCCTGGTGTAATTTTTTATCTGCATTGGGTGAAGACCTCTTCGTCAAGGTCTTTTAGCCTCCTCTCTTTGCTCTGCTGTTTTAGTAACATTTCCCTCTTTTTCTGTTCTTGATTGTTTTAATTGAAAGCCATGCTGAAACTTGTGAAGTTGAAAGAGTGGGGTATTTTAAATAAAAAATTTAAATGTGTATCGCATAACACTTCCATGACACTGTTAAACAGGGCTGCACTGTGGAACCTAAGAAATGGAAACAAAAGAGCTCTCCAGCTCAGAATATATCAATGGTATAGCATTGTAAAAGTCCATAGGTGGAAGGCTCGAAAAAAGACACTCTAATGAGCAGTTTTCAGAAGTCAGTACGTTGATCTGTTCCATGCATTCTGACAGCGGAGACGAGGGTGCATGTATCAGAGAGACAGACAGACAGACAGACAGAGTGGGTGTTTTTGCTCCCTTTCTGAACATAGTACTATATAAAACATGGTTTTGTCCTGAAGAGGGAAGAGGAAGAGGGACTGTTGTCTCTCAGGCAAGTGGTTATTTGCAATCTTGTGTCACTAAAAGTTGTAGATCAGATAGTATTTATGCATAGTCAACAATCTTATGCGGGGCTGGATGTGATAAATTTGTGCTAAAAGTGCATATATTTGCAATGACTTCATATCTGTGTGTTGTGTGCAAATACTTCTTCATAAGCTGTTTTGTATTTTTAACAGGGTCTCTCCAAAGACACTTTTAACATTTTGCACTAATGGTGTATTACTTCGTACATTAATGGCAGGAGATAGTGCACTGTCAACTGTAACTCATGTCATTGTGGTAAGGTTGACTAATTATTTCTCACGAAAATAACTATGCCAAATTTTTGAAGTTGTGAAACTTGACGTAAAGTTCTTCTTGTTAGTTCTTTATTAAACTTTATGCATAAATTGACACAAGGAGCACCATGATCAACTTTATAGTTTTGGAGTTGGCTGACATATGAAGGAACTTGTAGTTGAATGCATGACTTTGAGCCACTTGCTGTCAGATGTGTTCATTCAGATAACCAAGAGGCTACAAATAGCTTATGGTAGGCACATAAAGCTTGATAACTACAATTCTGAACTTGAGTTGTGTCTACCTTAGTCAACAGAGTACTAAAGCCTTAAATGGCTCAGGATACGGTATAGAAATTTAACATAATAATAATAATAATAAATAAATAAAAAAACAGGCCCAGTTTTTATTCAATAAAGTTGTCTTTAGTGGACAGTGAATGGCTGATTAAAAACTAAAGGAGAGCTTAACTGTCACGTCTGCTATGGTGTAAACTTGTCACCAGCAGAGAACTGTGGAATGATGTATGCACCAATGAACTATAAGAGTACACAGGTGTTAACATGTATCCCACAACATCAGATGTGCTGCTAGACTGATGACATGGTGAAACCCTGAAGCAAAGAACATGCTCACAAGAGAAAGCATGAAAGGGATAAGAGGATAGGGTGGCATGTCTGCAAGAATGGCTGAGTAGGAGTTGGGTAGAACATAATACCTAACACGCTGAATAAATTTAATCTAGTAAAATGTTAGTCAAATAAGCTTACTTCAGCACTTCTGCTAATATGAGAAAGATTACTGCTTCTGGATGAATGCTGTGTTAATCTTATATAGATCACGATAAATGCCTAGCAGGTGTATTTGCAAAAATATAAAACTATTGTCAACAAATGACAAAAATTGTAATGCAGAACTTATGTAGTATATTGTGGCAAACTTCTTAAGCTCTGTTCTAAAGAGGGCTCTCTTTCTTGTTTATGTTGCAGGATGAAGTCCATGAGAGAGATCGGTTCAGCGACTTCTTGTTAACAAAGTTAAGAGATACGCTACAAAAACACTCATCGTTGAAACTCATACTTTCTAGTGCTGCCCTGGATGTGAACCTCTTTCTCAGATATTTTGTAGGCTGTCCAGTGATATATAGTAAGTTCAAATGCTAGTAGGAATCAGTCTACTAAATTAAGTTGAATGCATTTTCCTTAGCTTGGTGTAGTACATATCAAACCTTGGAAACAAATCAATGTATTATTTTTTTTGTTACTATTACTACTGCTACTACTGCCTTTCACACACATGCCTCAAGGTAATGTGCAAAATGCAACAAAAAAAGGTAAAAGTCACACATAAATTGAGAGCAGATATATTTTAAAACAATACAAAATAGACATCCATGGCGGAGACCTATTCATCTGGCTGAGAAAGCTTGTAACAATTAGTATACAATTTCCTTAATCCAATATGCAAATATTAAAGCTGCATTTCTATAAGTAGATTTCCGGGTTTTTGCCACGCGCACATGCGCAGAAGCAGCCCTCTGGTTGCGGAAACCTCGGGATCCGACCGGAGCTCCGGAACGGATCCCGGCCGCAACCGGAGGTACCACTGTATAGAGAGAAAGAGATTTAGCAGGTTTAAGTATGATATTGATTATTATTATTATTATTATTAAGCTTACAGGTTTAAGTATGATATTCATGATTTAGCATAAACTTGATTATTTATATTCATGTCTTCAGTACCAGGAAGACCATTTGAAGTAAAAGAGATGTTCCTTGAAGACCTACTTAGAAGCACAGGCTACACAAATAAAGAGATGATCAAATACAAAAAGGAAAAACAGCGAGGTTGGTATCTATATATGCAGGTGTTAAGGGAGATGTATCTAGAGCAAAACAAACATTGTAAACACTCTCCCCCCCCCCCCCAAATATACTGTGAAACACTAGTAAGTAAATACAGTGGTGCCTCGCAAGACGAAATTAATCCGTTCCGCGAGAGTCTTCGTCTAGCGGTTTTTTCGTCTTGCGAAGCAACCCTATTAGCGGCTTAACGGATTAGCGCTATTAGCGGTTTAGCGGCTCTTAAAGGCTTAGGGGATTAGCTGCTAAAAGGCTATTAAAGGCTATTAAAGGCTTAGCAGATTAGATAAAGGGGGGGAAAAGCGAAAAAAAAATCTCTAGACTCGCAAGACATTTTCGTCTTGCGAAGCAAGCCCATAGGGAAATTCGTCCTGCGAAGCAACTCCAAAACGGAAAACCCTTTCGTCTAGCGGGTTTTCCGTCTTGCGAGGCATTCGTCTTGCGGGGCACCACTGTATACATTTTCACCTTTACTCCTTTTTTGTGTGTAAAACATTTAAAAATGTTCTCCAGAGGAAAAACAACAGACAACTCTGACTGAATGGTATTCTGCACAAGACAACAGCAAGCCAGAATTGCAGCGCCAGAGAGCAATACCAAATGTAGCTGAAGAATATGATCTGTTGGATGATGGTGGCGACACAGTGTTCAGTCAGCTGGTATGAATTTGTTTAAGGATTCTAATATTTCATGTTGATAGGAATTGTTATGGAACAAGAACAGTATGATCTAGATTCAAATTTCCACCAACATTCATTTGCGTTTGAAGCTCATAGTCAGCATAGTCTCCTCTGCATACACAACAGATGTGCATTCATAGAGGTCCCTCTGACTTTTTCTACTCTCCAGGATTTCTGTAAAGTCAGGCTTCTGCTTCACCTTTCCAAGAGACTCATTACTGTTTTCATACAATATGTTACAGTGATTATGCCTGTTTTTGTATTTGTGCATGGTGGGGCTCTTTAAAAAAAATTTTTTTAACACCTATGTGTAATTCTGTGTTGTTTTTAAATGTGGGAGTAGCATGAGTTCGGGATGCCTTGCCTTCTGTGGAGGACTTTCTCTCACTTTGGCACAGTAAAAGCTACTTTTAAACTTGAGAGGGAGGGGCTGCCAGAACAGAAAGTTGACAGCAAAAAGCTCCACTATGTATATAGATCTAGGTCCTTGACCTCTCTTTAACTTAAGAGTGTTACTTCCCATATTGTATATTATTATTCATGACAATCAACCTGGAAGAAATCCTTTCAGTAAAGTCAAAGAAAGGCCAATGAAGCATGCACCTAGCATGCAAGTTTTGAAACATTGAAGCCTCTTATTCTGTCAGTTTTAGGGTGAGGAAATAGCGACCGGAGATCTTCTGTTGCTCTTAGATAGCATTCAGATAAAAAGGTAATGTTGTTTCCTTATTTTCAGGCTGAGAAAGATGTCAACTGCCTTGAACCTTGGTTAATTAAAGAAATGGATGCTTGTCTCTCTGATATTTGGCTACACAAAGACATTGATGCCTTTGCACAGGTGTTTCACCTTATTTTAACTGAAAATGTCAGTGGTAAGTTTGCATTCTTAACTTTCCCTTGCTGAACTGTGCACCTAAGCCATAAATACCTTATTTGCCCTAAAAAATAATAATCCGATCCATACCTTTTAAAAATAATATGCGTTTTCTTGGAGTTAAGTGTTTTCTTGGAGTTAGGTGTTTTCTGGAACTATTTAAAATTATTTTTGAATAAGTGGACTGGGACTAATGAGCAATCACTATAGGCAAGATCCAACCCTCTGCAGCAGGGGGCAGGGTGGCGGGGGGGGGGGGGAGAATGGCAAGTTTCACTGCAAAAATGGAAGGTCGTTTTGCAAGTGGAATGCCACAGTTGGTGTTTCTGCAATATTCATATTTTCCCAAAGCATAGGAAGCTGCCCTATACTGAATCAGATCATTGGTTCATCTAGCTCAGTTTGTCCACACTGACTGTCAGTGATCGAACCCGCGACCTTCTGCTTGCAAAACAGATACTGTACCACTGAGCAATTCCTTTTCCTTAAACATGCAGCTTAATCTTCTGTATATTTCCTCTGGAGCAAGTTCCAGGTAAATGTAAATAGTTTTGAACCCAAAGTAATAAGAATCCATGCAAGCTACTCTTTAAAGTTGTGGACCCTGGGTTAGTTGAAATCAGTGGAGTGCGTTTGCCATAATTTAAATGGATTTCCCATTGATTTCAGTGGGAACTAAGTGCAGCTAAGTTGGTATGGATCCAACCCAGAATGTTCTGAAAAGATTTTGCCGAAATAGTTTGGAGAGTTGAGCATTTGTTGAACACTAACTTTCCCCTTCTCCTTGTCCTAGTTGACTACAGGCACAGTGAGACAAGCGCAACGACTTTAATGGTAGCTTCTGGAAGAGGTTTCTTGAGTCAAGTAGAACAGCTTATTGGTATGGGAGCAAACATTCACATCAAATCATCCAATGGCTGGTAAAACAATCTCATTGCAACTTTTCCCCATTCATTTCGTTGTGTATGTGCGTGTGTATGTAGAGAGAAATCGTGGATTATTAGAAATGTTGGGGGTAAGTTATAAGCTGTTTTTTAAACAACAAGATTTTTTGGTTAGTTCCCACACTATCTACTCCACATTGCTGGTGCTATACTCTGTATTGCCTGAGATTTGGCAGACCTAATTGTCAGAGATCCAGTCTGTTGTAATAGATTTCAGTGTTTGCTTAAATATTTGTGTGATTATGCTGAAGTAGATAGACGAAATTTCAACAATTTATAGCTAATATAGTGGGAAGTGGGAGATTATAGAATTGTCCTTCTCTTGCCCTACAAGACAAGACCATCACAATCTGTTGCATTACTAAAGCAACTAGCTCCTATTTACTAGTCTGCGACTTCCCCACCCCTGAAGAGCAAAACCTCAACAAACTCAACTCTAAAACGAGTGGGATACTTTTACTGTTTACTGCTGCCTTCCCACAGGGGTTATCTGTGGGGGCCCACATGCCAGTAGTGGACATAACTGGTGGCATCAATGCCAGAGCAGACAGTGGGCAGAACATCCCATTTTTCTCTCCTTTTACCTCCATACTTTCTCTTTCTGCCTGCTCCTCCATTTCCCCCCTCCTTCCCACTTGCATGGAAGTAGGCCGAGGGTTTGCCTGAGGGCTGCAGGTTTGCTCAGCCTTGATGTAATGTGCCACATGATTTTTGTCCAAAAGTCTCCCATGTGAAGTTTTTTTTATTTCTACAATTCATTTGGTTGGGTATGGTAGTTTATAGTGCTATGAGTTCAGCTAATAAATACAAGTTGTTTAGAATCTTGTTACTCTAAGTTTGTATTAGTTCTGCTTTTTCTGATTAGTGGAACCCTATTCAGACATGCCTCTAATGAGGGTGGAGGACAGAGTATGTACCTACCTCTCCCACCCCCACCATGCCTTCAGTATCCACATGGTAGATGTCATGTTAAAACAGGGCTCATGCACACAGGCTAGATGTGCATGATGATTACCGCCCTGTCTTTGAGAAGCAGAATCATAGAATCATAGAATCATAGAGTTGGAAGAGACCACAAGGGCCATCGAGTCCAACCCCTTGCCAAGCAGGAAACACCATCAGAGCACTCCTGACATATGGTTGTCAAGCCTCTGCTTAAAGACCTCCAAAGAAGGAGACTGCACCACACTCCTTGGCAGCAAATTCCACTGTCGAACAGCTCTTACTGTCAGGAAGTTCTTCCTAATGTTTAGGTGGAATCTTCTTTCTTGTAGTTTGGATCCATTGCTCCGTGTCCGCTTCTCTGGAGCAGCAGAAAACAACCTTTCTCCCAAATTCGGCAGTGCATAAATTTGGCCTATGCTCTCTGACCTCTAATTTAAGTTCTGTTTTGGTCTTTGTTCCATTTCAATTTGACACTCGGCCGTAAGCAGAAATTGTTTGCAAGAATCTCCTTCTCCCTGCTTCAAGGAGAATTGGGGAGAAATTATGTGCAATGTAGACATAGCTGAAGTTCAGAATCGGGTATGTTTCTCTGCACAGTAAATGGAGGCGGAAGAATCTTCTCATGACTTCAATAAATAATAGTAGTCATTTAGCACTTTTCCTATTAGCTGGAAGCACTTCCCAAACATTATCTTAGTAAATCTATATAATCAAAAAAGTCTTAATTATGTCTCCACATATCAATTAGAGCTCATTGGTTTTTAAAAGAAATAGAGCTTTTGATCAAGTACTGTCCTCTTGGCTCTACTTTAATTTTTGACTTTTTTTTTAGTATTGGAAAAAAATTATTATAGTCCTAGGCAAAGGTTTTTTGTAAGTATCCAGTGGGGTTCTTGCCTCTAGTCATATGCAGGCTAATAAAATAAGATTAAAAATGCCGTCCTGAATGTAACTAACAATGATTGAAAATGTTCTTTGTTCATAGGTTACATTTTTGTACTTAAGCAAAATGCTTGTTTTATTTTTTTATAATTATTACAGGACAGCTTTAGACTGGGCTAAGCACTTCGGACAGACAGAAGTGGTTGATCTGTTGGAATCCTATTGGTAATGTGTTTATTAACTCTGGAATCATAGAATCATAGAACTGTAAAGCTGGAAGTGACCACAAGGGTCATCTAGTTCAATCCCATGCAATGCAGGAATCTTTTGCCCAATGTGCGGCTTGAACCCACATTGCTGAGATTAAGAGTCCCATGTGCTACCGACTAAGCTATCCCATTGTGCTTGAGTACATGGCAGAGAACTGCCTGTACTTTCTAAAACATGGATAGGGAACTGGATCTGGCCAGCTGATTCAAAGGCCCTTGGGTTTGTGGGAAGACTCCTTTGTAGTTTTCAGATAATAGTGGAAGTAGATCAAGGAACCAACAGCCTCAGGAATTATATTTTTCTAAATCTGCTTCCATGTTCTGCAAGTATTGCCAATTTCTTAACGTGTGTATTTTTTGGTGCTTGTATTTTAGTGCCTCACTAGAGTCGGGTAATCTCGATGAAAGTTCTTTGGTCCATGCAAATGCTAGTGAACTCAGTGCAGAAGACAGAGAACTCCTAAAGGCTTATCATCACAGCTTTGATGATGAAAAAGTGGATCTTGACCTGATCATGCACCTGCTATACAACATCTGTCACAGCTGTGATGCAGGTAAATGCAGGTGTAGTGCTTATTTTCATTTTAAGCATCTTTTATATGCACATGCTTTAGTCTGTGCTTTGGCACCTAGACTACTATGCACATAAAACATTTGTTGGAAGCCAAAGGCTGTCGTATTCCACATGTGAGCTTGTTAGAAGTAGAGTACTGCAATAAATTGACTTTTTTTGTTTGATCAGCAAGACTGCTCTTATCTTACAAATGCATTTGACTGTGATTATGCCCCACTCCTCTTTTCCTCTCGATGGTTCTTATAAACTGGGCCCCCATGTATATGAATGGAGATGGGCAGGTTTTGCTTCACACTAACATATTCTACATTAGTGGGCACAAGCCTCAAACTTGCTCTTTGTGCCCTCCGACCATATGTAGCCCATCCCTGTCTAGGCTTAGAATCATAGAATTGTTCCATGAGATGAAGTTAAGGCTGCTCGTTCCATAACTGGCTTGGCTTCATTGTGGTGGGGAAATTGTTATCAACTCTCCCACTGGTTCGGAAATGATGCAACCGTTCTTAGGATATGCACGGTGTTGTTGTTCTCGGGGTTGATTTGCAGCATTTTCCCAATTTCCCGGCATCGACAGTGTTTGCTGAATTGCTGGGACCATCGGGGGTGGGGGGGTCTTTGTCAAATACAATTAAATCTGTCTCTGGCTTTCTATGTGTCCCATTTCCCTTGGGAGGGGCATCACTTGGCATTGGCTGATCAGATTCCAGCTGGAGTAGAGAGTGGTGAAATTGGCGAGATTGGTGAAATTCTGGATCTGCCAAAGGTATAATAGAGTGTCCTTTCTTTGAATTATCTAGATTGGGCTGGCGTTCTTTGTGTGTTTGGCCTTTTTGCTCTGATGTTTTCCTCTCCAAGGGAGTATTGCGGCTGGGTTCACCACACATATTCATCTTTGATGGCCCTTCCGAATGAATCATGGCCCTATGGCGAAAGCCCTTCGGCAGAGGTGGCGTTGATTGCTTGGGGTCGGTCCGGCTATACGACAAGTTTGGCAGTAGTTGTTTTCGTTCTGTGTCTTTAAAAACACGCCTTAAAACAATATTATAGTCCTGTAAAATGGCCCTATATTTCAGTAGCATTTTAGGGGTAGCTGAGTCAGAAAATGTCAGCATGAGTCTAGTGTGCTGGGGGTCCGTGCAAAGCAAGTTTATCGCGATCAGAGTGTTGCAATGGATATTTAGTAAAAGCTTAAAGTTTCTCTTCGCACTGTCAATTGATTCCCAGTAAGGCAGCATAACATTAAAAGGATATATATCGAGAGCTACTTGAGTACTTTGTAGGATCAGGTCCCTACTTTCGCTTTTGTTGTTTTTAGTATTTGTAGTCTCTAGGTTATCAAGTCCAGACCGGTTACACCCCTGTACGCGATGGTCTAGAGGGAGGGTATGTCTTTGAGTTAACATCTTACATCAAAAACCTGACAGTACCTAACTATCGAAGGCTTTTCACCAAAGCCAGACTAAATGTCTTCGCCTCTGCAGTGCTGGATGGTAGGTTGAGAGGAGTTCCCTACCAGGACAGACTTTGCTCGTGTGCTCAAGACATCGATTCCATAAATCATATTTTGTTGCATTGTGCGAAGTATGAGCAGGCCAGGGCTGAACTGATACTACCCTTGCTGGTGCCTTTCCCGGGAAAATCAGAGGCTCACTATGTCAGGTTCCTACTGGAAGACCAGACAAAAGCCAGAACGTTGGCAGTGGCAAAGTTTTTATCGGTGGTTGCAAGGACAAATGAGCCCTATATTCCAATTGTAGAATTGGAAAGGGCCATGAGAATCATCTAGTCCAACCCCATGCAATGTGGGAATCTTTTGCACAATGTGGGACTCGAACCCATGACCCCATGGGTCTCCTGCTCTACCACCTGAGCTTATAATGAAAGACCAGATGCTAAGCATAGCTTTCTCTTATTCTATTTCCTTTCACTTTGGAACTTTGTCTTAAAGGAGCGGTTTTAATTTTCCTTCCTGGATATGATGAGATTGTTGGCTTGAGGGACCGCATCCTGTTTGATGACAAGAGGTTTGCTGATAATGCTCACAGGTAAAAAAAAATCTGTAACTCTTATTTTGGTATATTGGTTTTACTCTTAGAAGACTGCATTTCATTCAATTCATACTTCTTTGCTATTAGGTTCCAAGTTTTTATGCTGCATTCAAATATGCAGACATCAGATCAGAAGAAGGTTCTAAAGACCTCTCCCCCAGGCATCCGCAAAATAGCAAGTATCAAATTACTTTTTAACCATTTCTATCAATCCACATTCTTTTCACATCAACTGTTATTACAGTGTAATGTGTTGTTTCAGATTCTTTCTACAAATATTGCCGAAACCAGCATCACAGTTAATGATGTTGTCTTTGTGATTGACTCTGGAAAAATGAAGGAGGTATGCCATTTGCCTGTTCATCTATTTTTTTTTTTTTAAGATAACTGCTTAATATAATACAGTCATACATCATGTTACGTTTGCTTCATGTTACGTTATTTCAGGTTACGTCCCCCGGTGACCCGGAAGTACCGGAAAGGGTTACTTCTGGGTTTCACTGCTCATGCATGCGCAGAAGCGCAAAATGACATAATGCACAGAAGTGGCGAATCGCAACCCGCACATGCGCAGATGCGCCGCTGCGGGTTGCGCTCTTTTCATGTTGCGAACGGGCCTCCAGAATGGATCCCGTTCGCAACCACTGTAGTCTCTAAGTGGTTTATATAAAATGAAGTTTAGCAGTTGCTAAAAATGAGGTGAAAATAAAACACAACTGTATATTGCAAAAAGCCCCTCAAATTTATCTTAGACTCACGTTTAATTTTAGTTTACCATAAACTAAAAGTGTGCTGTACTGTAAACAAAACACTTAAAGAAGGATTTTAGTATAGTGGCACCTCAGGTTAAGTACTTAATTCGTTCCGGAGGTCCGTTCTTAACTGAAACTGTTCTTAACCTGAAGCACCACTTTAGCTAATGGGGCCTCCCGCTGCCGCCGCTCCGCCGGAACACAATTTCTGTTCTCATCCTGAAGCAAAGTTCTTAACCCGAGGTAATATTTCTGGGTTAGCGGAGTCTGTAACCTGAAGCATATGTAACCCGAGGTACCACTTTACAATGTGTAAAATATTGTTACATGCCACACCAATCTCCAACTAGTGTGAGATTCCAGGGGTCTTGGCTTTCACCCAGGGTTCATGTTTTCCTCAGAAATAAGGCACAGTGGAGACTGCAGTGTCTTTATGACTGATGTGTTTTTACACACGTATATATGCAACCTGAGTCTGTAGTGGAGGGATTTCCAGCATTCAGATTTCAAGAGGATGTTCTGCTGCTGGAAGGGTGGGACTTGATTTTTGCCAGTTCCCCAGCAGCTCTCTGTGCCCCTGAAATGCTGCTTTGGGGATGGAAACATGTAAAGTGGAATCGGGGAAATTCACCTCCTCCCTTCTCTCCAGCAGGAGCCTCAAAATGAATCTCAGTGCCTTCTATAAATGGGAAGAGAACTTCTGTTCTTGAAAGGGCAAGCCTGGATCCAGGCAATGTATGCCAAAATCACCTCACGAAACTATTGTTAATTTTGATTATTTTATCATTCAAGTGTTCATTTCACCTTGCTGTTCTAAATCTACATTCTAATAAAAGTGTTTTCTTGAAATTTTAGAAGTCCTTTGATGCATTGAACTGTGTGACCATGCTGAAGATGGTATGGATTTCTAAAGCTAGTGCCGTTCAGAGAAAGGGCAGGTAATGCAAATATCATGAATATTTTATTTTAAGATCAGATTACAGACAGACTATTCTTACTTTTTCAAAAAGAAAAAAATATTTCTTAGAATTACTGGTATAAGATTACTTGAAACAGGTTAATTTTGATTTTTAAAAAAGCTTAAATGTTAGTACTTTTATTTTTCAACAAAACCTTTCTTAGACCATTTCTGGAAATAATATCTTTTTGGAGACATCTGGTTGTGCTTTTCACACTATTCACTTTGGATCACACACCAGCCCTGTGTTTAAAATTTATATTATAGTATTCTTATGAAGCGCATGTTACATTTCCAATTAATTTGAGCCCTTCAGGCAAAAGGTATAATGAATGACACTTCTGAAAGAGCTTATTTATGAAATCTACTTTCTACTTTCAACATCTCTTTTTCCTGCTTTGATTTTTAAAATTCTACTCTTCTATGTATTGACTTACCTTAAATAATACTTACTGTTTCTAAGGGCAGGACGTTGTCGACCTGGAATTTGTTTCCGACTTTTTAGTAGACTCAGATTTCAAAATATGCTGGAATTTCAGACCCCAGAACTACTAAGAATGCCACTACAGGTTAGTGATCTTTCTTGTTTTGTTAAGTCCAAAGAGGTCTTTATAACACAATGGTCCCACTCAACCTTCAAGCCAAACCATGACTTGTGCTAACCATAGTTTAGACTCCAAACCATGGTTTAGAATTGTTTGTTTCCTTTTATTTTCTGTCCTCCCCCCAGTTTACTTGGAGCTGCAGCCTCTGGAGTCTGAAAAATGGTTCAGGCTTCAGGGTATTGGAAACTATTGACCTTTGCTTCCCAGCTGGTTGGGAAGAATATGCCAGAATTCTTCTTTATTCATGTCACGCTAAGCTATGCTTTAGCAGGATGTGTGAACATGACCAGTATGTGGAAGGTTGCTGTTTGAAGCACTTACCATAGGACACCTCAATTTTAAAAGAATCTAAAATAACCCATTGTATTTCTATATAATACTTGTGGAAGTCTGATCAGTATTAAGAGGTGTCCTGCACCTCTGCTTCACATCATACCAAAAAGCAGCCTTGCACAATGTTGCAGTGTTGTGTCCGGTGGTAGTCACTGATGATGGTGTTGCTGGTTTTGTTTGCCTATTTGCATTCCTTTGCAGGAACAACATTGTATAAGTTAGCACAGAATGTCTGTAGAATGTCACAAGCAAACATTTTTCTTTAGCTGCTTTTTAAATATCAAGGCTTAAGTAGAAATGAGCAATTGATTGCACCTTACGGTGCAATCGTAGGCAGGATTCCTTGATCCCACTGAATTTGATGGTACTTGATTTTCAGTAGAGCAATTATATAGCTTTAAGATAAAAATCTGCTTTTACTGCAGACTTGCTATACTGAAAGTGTGAATATTCTTAGTTTCTTTATTTTTGTTACAGCTTTACCATATATTTTGGATCAGGGGTGACTAAAGCTGAATATTCGATTTTGTGTATTTTAGTTCACACATTTTCAAATGTCAGACTGGCATAAGAGTTTGTTAAGTACTAGGGAGCAATCAGTTTTTCTCCTATGCATTTACTGAGCTAATACTTGGGGGAAAAAATAAGTAACTAATTAATCCTGTAAACATATACCCACTTTACTTATAGAAATCCCATTGGAATCCATGGCATTTTTGAACAGACAAATATAGAGTTGCACTACAAGCACATTGTTTAATATATCTATGCTTAATCAAGTATTCTATGTATATGTTTTAATCTATGTTTGGTTCTTGCTCCCAATTAATTTAATAATTATCCGCTTAGAGATACAGTACTGTTATGCTTTTTATTTAGATGTTTTGCTTATGCTGGTCTGTGATCATAATAAAGTAAATTCATTCAATATAAGGACATTATATTGTGTATTCTGGTTTTTCTGAAACGTGTCTTAATTTCTAGGAGCTTTGTTTGCATACAAAATTGCTAGCTCCCATCAACTGTCCAATTGCTGACTTCTTGATGAAAGCTCCAGAACCACCTCCTGCTTTAATCATAAGAAATGCTGTACAGATGCTTAAGGTGAGTAATATAAACAAAGCTACTCTTGTCCCTGTATTTTTACTTATTACCAGCTTTTATAATGATTCCTAAAACACTAAATTTTTGCATAACTACTGAAATTGCTAGCTCTGAAAAAATTCCGTAAGCACCTTTCCCAATTTCATCAGTGCCCTACTTAATACTTCTCCTCTGAAGTTTGCCTTGGAAATATCTGATCAAGGGTGGCTTTACATGAGTCTGTGTTTGAATTGTTTGTATGAAACAATTCACTTGCATTTTCAGATGAAGCCACGACAAGAGAAATAGTTGCTAAGCTAATTGAAATTTGGAGTCTAGTCGTTACCTGCTTTTGAAATGTGCATTTCTTTGTAAGCTGATTTTGTTTGCTCTTTTAAAAAATAGACAATAGATGCTATGGATACCTGGGAGGATCTGACAGAACTTGGCTATCATCTGGCTGACTTACCAGTAGAACCTCATCTTGGCAAAATGGTGCTGTGCGCCGTTGTTCTGAAGTGCCTGGATCCTATTCTGACAATAGCATGTACCCTTGCATACCGCGACCCATTTGTGTTACCTACGCAGGCCTCTCAAAAGCGGGCAGCCATGCTGTGTAGAAAAAGATTTACTGCAGGAACATTTAGTGACCATATGGCTCTTCTCCGGGCTTTCCAGGTATTGTGAGTCTACAAAAAACCCCAAAACACTTATGATCTTTGTGAAATCTATCAGAAAGCAAGGAGGCACTTAAGCTAGATTAACACATCTTGAAATGTTACCTAGTGCAGTCTAGTAAACTAATGTTATCAGAGGCCAATTACCAAGCCTTTGTACACCTTGTCTGCTATGGCTGCTGCTTCTTGCCTCCCTCCCTTGCTGTTTGCCACCTGCCACTTGTTCCCCTTTTAAACTGCTGCTAGCTGGAAAAGCAGTGCTATGTTGATTGTATGTGTATTGTCTTTCTTTGGCCTTTGCTTTATAAGACTGCTATTGCTCTAAACTGAGTCTGAGGGTGGGCTGCTTGGAGATATGCAAGCCCAGCTTTTGTATTGCGGTAGCATTGTTTTAACAATCAGAAAAGATGAGTTTCTAATTTCCATTGAGCCATGGCATTAATCACCTGGTTCATCTCCATTTTCCCATGAATCTCTTGTTTTTAAGTTGAATTATTGTACACAGATAATGTTGGAAGCTATGCTATGGGAAAAGTATGCCCCCGTCCCCTCCTTGCAGTGAGGTAGATTGCTCTAATATTATGATTAAGTAAGGATTAATTAAAGTTACTTTTATCCATGATGCTAAGGAGAAAGGTTAATAGCATACTACCCATATTTCCTCATCTGCCCATTGATGCTGGGGGGGGGGGGCCATGGACTTGCACTTGGATTCTTCTTTGCAGAGTAGTATAGCTGTTCCTAGCAACGTTCTGGTAGTTGAACAATGTAGAGAGAAGCCTTCAAGAATTGGGTATTCCCCAAATGTGTTCCGTTTCTTTTTCACTGGCTCAGAGTACGTGGGGCTTAAACTATGTCAGGCTTATGCCATGACTGTTGTAAAAAGAGCTCATTCCCCACCTCTCCTGCGGTCAGATGAGATTGCAGGGACAGCAAGAGATTTTGACAGGTGGGCAGGGCAATCTGCCTCTGAATTGTGCGATATCATAGCAATGCCATAGATAAATTATTGTTATTCTAGAAATCAAGGCTTTCTATACTAATGATCTGAACATCTTGAAATGTGTGTTTGTCAGGGGTTGCATTCTAAATGGTTACTGAAGAAACATTAACTACTCTGAAAGTTCTTTTAAATCAACTTGTTTTGCAGGCATGGCAAAAGGCGCGAAGCGATGGCTGGGAACGAGCTTTTTGTGAGAAGAATTTCCTTTCTCAGGCAACAATGGAGATTATCATAGGAATGAGAACACAGCTGCTTGGGCAACTCAGAGCATCAGGTAATAGATATATATCTGTATATTTATTAACCTGAAATCTGCTCCACAAAGTCTTCAAGCTTTCTTCCTGGATTTCACTGTACTACTGATTCCTGTGTATATGATCAGGGATACAGTTGCTATCTTTTGAGGTTTATTTTGGAGCAGTTATCCTACAACCAAACCTTTGGTTTACTTACGCTGAAAGCATATTCCACTTGTTACCACATTTTGAGGTGTTATGCTATTGCAGTGGATTGTAAATATGCCCCAGTTATGTGTATTTGTGGTTACACTAGTAATATTTGCTGTGTAGATTGTGTAGTGAATACTTACTGTTCTGTTGTCCTAACAAAAGTGCACCTATGGCTGCTTTGAGCTTGCTTCAAGCCTCCGTGTTAAAATGAGATTTGCAGTTAAGAAGTAGTGGCTGAGTTTTAGACTGTGGATGGGAACATCCTTACTAATGATTATTGTAAACCTCTCTGGGAGTGTTTTCCAGCTGGAGAGCAGGGTAAAAATAAATAAGCCTGATAGCCCATCAAAGCCAAGAGCTAGTTTTAATTCAAAATGAGCTAATGTTTTTGAGTTTGGCTCAGGAGCACAGAAAACTCAAATGAGGTATTTTAAGGGGAATTGTCAGGCGTCAGAGGATCCAACCCCCACGGCAGGTTGCCAGGAACGGATAAGACAAGGAAAAGTCCTTACCATCTGCTTTTTATTCAATATTGACAGAGAGAGGATTGGAACACAGCCTCTTGGAATAATGGTGTTGTCCCAAGTGACTCTCCACCCCCTTTTTCTCCCACTTCCTCATTCATCACCTTGTCTCCTATGGGTGGCGCTGAGGGCCCTTTGCTTCTGAGCCCTTTGCTCTACTACTTTCAAGGCTCGCCGGGTTCTGGGAGGGGCCGGACCTGGAATGCTTTCTAAAGACACTGTGTCTGTCAGCTGTCCCCCCTCTGGTGTTTCTTTTTCCTCCTCTTCCATTATTTCCCAGCTTTCCCCCTCATCCGCCTCTGAGCTGTGACCTCCCTCAACCCCCTGTAGTAATTCTGAACTGTCTTCTTCTCTGGAAGGGTCAGGCTGGGGAGGCAGTCTCCACCATTCCTCCTTTGCCCAGTCCCAGACAGGAATGATGTTTCAGTAAGTTTCAGCAGGCAAGATTGTGTCCTGAGTTAAATGAGAAAATGCTGTGTTTGGGTGTTGTTTGTTCTAGTGCAAAATAACTTTTATTCTCCCATTCTGCAACCAAGGCAAGATCCTTTGCAACCAAATGCCCGAGTTTCACTGCTCAGAATGGTATACTGTTAATGACAGAGTGGGAGCTAAAAAGGCTATGCCTGACATGCGTCTCTGAAGTTAATAATAGCTTTCTTAATTAGCAGGACATACATTTCTTTCTTTTTTTCTTTCTAGGTTTTGTAAGAGCCAGAGGTGGTGGCGACATAAGAGATGTTAACACCAACTCTGAGAACTGGGCTGTGGTGAAAGGTGCCTTAGTAGCTGGAATGTACCCCAATATAGTTCACGTTGACAGAGAGAACATTGTTTTGACTGGGCCAAAAGAAAAAAAAGTTAGATTTCATCCTACCTCTGTTCTTAGCCAGCCCCAGTATAAAAAGGTAAGAAGGTATAAAGTTTAAAATATTAGTGTGGGAGATAAGAGAACCTCAGTTCTTCCGTGAGCTTTGAATGCTTTGTTTATTTAGAAATGTATTTTGAATAATAGCAACCCATGACCGATACCAGTTGCTATTCTTAACGAGGAAGCAGAGATCTAGTAAAATAAGGTGGCACAAGTCTTTGCTGAGTTTCTTTGCTAAACTTGTTTCAGCACCAAACGGTATTCATAGAATCATAGAATCATAGAGTTGGAAGAGACCACAAGGGCCATCGAGTCCAACCCCCTGCCAAGCAGGAAACACCATCAGAGCACTCCTGACATATGGTTGTCAAGCCTCTGCTTAAAGACCTCCAAAGAAGGAGACTCCACCACACTCCTTGGCAGCAAATTCCACTGTCGAACAGCTCTTACTGTCAGGAAGTTCTTCCTAATGTTTAGGTGGAATCTTCTTTCTTGTAGTTTGGATCCATTGCTCCGTGTCCGCTTCTCTGGAGCAGCAGAAAACAACCTTTCTCCCTCCTCTATGTGACATCCTTTTATATATTTGAACATGGCTATATAACCTGATCTTGTTTCAGGACGTTTGTGTTGTAAAGGCTTTGTAAAGGATTCCTCATGTGGACTGTGCATCCCACCTCATGCAGCAGGATTTTACCCTTTCTTAAGGCTACCTGATGGGACGCGGGTGGTGCCGTGGGTTAAACCACAGAGCCTAGGACTTGCCGATCAGAAGTTCGGCGGTTCGAATCCTTGCCACGGGGTGAGCTGCCGTTGCTCAGTCACTGCTCCTGCCAACCTAGCAGTTCGAAAGCACATCAAAGTGCAAGTAGATAAATAGGTACCGCTCCGGCGGGAAGGTAAACGGCGTTTCCGTGCACTGCTCTGGTTCGCCAGAAGCATCTGCATCATGCTGGCCACGTGACCCGGAAGCTGTACGCCGGCTCCCTCAGCCAAAAAAGCGAGATGAGCGCCGCAACCCCAGAGTCGGTCACGACTGGACCTAATGGTCAGGGGTCCCTTTACCTTTACCTTTAAGGCTACCTGACCATGTACTTTTGATCTGCATAGCTTTTTGTGTGTTTTATATGGAGCTCCCGTAGTCTCCCATACAGCAATGAGGAGGTTCACAACGGTTTAGATTCATCAATGCTGTGCATTGGGTACTCCCTTCCTATTTTCTTCAGAGGGCTGGGGAAGTTTGCTTGCAAACGGATGTTGTAAATTGTCCCTTTTTATCGAACCGAAAGAAGCAATTCTGTTCCTTCTGTGTTACTGCCTAACAGATTCCTCCAGCAAATGGTCAAGTGGCAGCTATTCAGGCACTTCCCACGGACTGGCTCATATACGATGAAATGACAAGAGCCCACCGCATAGCCAATATCAGGTGCTGCTCAGCTGTGACGCCGGTCACCGTGGCCCTCTTCTGTGGATCAGCTAGGCTGCCAAGTAATGCTTTGCAGGAGCCTTCCTCCTTCAGAGGTATAGTGCTAGAATAAGAAACGTGGTTTTAATATGCATGTATGAGTACATCTAATCCACTTGCTGACTTGTGTTAGCAGTTGTTAAGAGCTGTTTGTTTCCTGCGCTAAAGTAAAATAAACATTTTTTTTATAATGGGAAGGGGAATGTATCATCTCATTTTTGCCTCTTAAATTCAAACAGATTGTTGGGTTCTGTTCATTATTTTGAAGTCTGGAAGCAGCTTCATACATTATGTTTTCGTGCAGGGAAAGCACCTCACTGTTGGGAAGAAAGTGTGGATTGTCTTGCCTTTAGCAGCACTTTCAAACAGTTCATTTTCTTAATGTTTTATTAAAATAAATATGAATGTGGTTACTGTCATATAAGCTAACCTGTTAAGTAAATGAGATAAAAGCAAAATGCAGCTGTATATTGCAAATAAAACTAAGCAGAGTACAAAGAAAGAAAGAAAGAAAGAAAGAAAGAAAGATGAATTGGAGTCCCAGAAAGCTTGGGTAACTGTAAGATCTTAAATGTCATGACTGTTATCACCTCATTCCAGAGAGTGAGTGCTATCGTTGGGAAGGCCCACTTCTGTGTTGCTAGGTATCCTGTTCTCAAGTTATTTAGCGCTTTAAATGTCAACAGCAAAACCTTGAACTTAGTTCAGTAGCTAATAGGGAGTGAGTGCAGATCTTACAACACTGGTGTAACATGTCAGTCTGGGTGTCCCACTAAGTCACCTAGCAGCTGCATTTTGCATTAGCTGCAGCTTCTGAACCAGGCACCAAGGTAGGAAGTTAGCAGATTAATCTTGATGCATATTAAAAATACATATCTCTTAATTGTTGTTGGTTTAAGTACGGAGTACAGTAAATGTTAATGCCTGAGATCTGCCTTTCTCTAATATAGTGGATGGTGTTCCTAATGACAGCAGTGATAGTGAGATGGAAGACAGAACTACTGCTAACTTGGCTGCCTTGAAACTGGATGAATGGCTTCATTTCAAATTAGACCCAGAGGTGCGTACTTCATCTGAAAAAAATTGAAAGGAAAAAACTCAGTCTTGAGAATTGCTTTCAGCATTTTGACCTCAAAATGACTTAAAATTAGGATCCCAGGCTCAAAAACTGACCTCTGAAAGAAACAGAACTCTTTGCTCTCTCATTTTCAATATTGGCACCATCCAGCATCGTAATCACTTTTTATAAATCTATGATGTGACCACATTAAAATATATGTTCTAGATACTGCATCTAAACAAACAAAAACCCCACTGTTGTACAGTAGGAAATGGTGCACAAAAAGGGGAGTCAAATAAATTAAACAAAGGGATTGGAACCATTTCCATATGAGAAAAGGTTAAAATGTTTGGAGGACTTGGGAGAGATCAGCAGCGAGTTGGGGCTTGGTCTTCACCAATATGTGGAATTAATACCTGATGATGATGATGATGATGATGATATTAAATATTAAATAAACAGCAAGGGGACCTTAGTGTGTTTGTATAACATCATACATGATGTGAAGAAAGTCATTGGAGGTATTTCCCCCTCTCAGTTAAATTAAATTATGTGGCTTTAGATTCAGAGAATGCATAATTAACATGGTATTTGCTATTCTAAAATTTGGTGATGGCCACTGACAGGTGACTTTAGAAGGTGGTTAGATTGATCTTCTATAAGTGTCCATTATAGAGGCTACTATCTCTACTGGCTAAATGGAAGCTCCAGATCTGATGAATGTATGGAGGTTGGAGGTAGGGACGGGATACATAATCCTGTGCATTTCACCTGGGTGGAAAGAGCAGGTGTTTAAACCATTTATTGATGTTGATTTAGATTGAACTCCTCCTTCCCTAGCCATTCATGTCCTTTCACCTATGTAAACGGTGCTGCAAGAAAGCCATGCAGGGACAGTTTAATTCTGGACCTATCTCAGTTCTTCCTCTATCACTATGAGAATAATCATCCCAGTTGAAAAACTTGAAATTCTTTGCCAATGAGCATGGTTACAGATATAACAGAGGAATGAAGTATTAATTAAAATACTTTAAAAAAAAAATATCTCCCAAATACTTTGGAACAAAAGGATGTTTTCAGGAATCATGTTGCTGACATCAAACTTCCTCAAAGTATCGGAGTTATCAAAACTATTTAATACACTTATATTCAATAAAAGGTCACCAAGCGTTCTTGGAAGGGTCTCCAAGACATATATATATATTAAATTATAAACTATATTTATTACAGGCTGCTAGCCTACTCCTGCAATTGAGGCAAAAATGGCATAGTTTATTTTTACGGCGCATGAGAGCTCCTTCAAAGCCATGGTCTCAAGTTGATGAGGCAACCATACGAGCAATCATTGCTGTTTTAAGCACTGAAGAACAGTCTGCAGGTCTACAGCAGCCTTCGGGAATTGGGCAAAGACCAAGACCCATGTCATCTGAAGAACTTCCTCTAGCGTCTTCATGGAGATCAAACACTAGCCGAAAAAGCTCAGCAGAAGCAGAATTCGCAGATGATGCTTTTAATGCTGAAAGGTCAGTATCTAGTGGATAGTACTGTCCACAGTACTGTGCTCTGTGCCTGCCGTGAATAGGAAGCACATAGTGTGCAAAGGGTTTAACCCCGTGAGGTGTCTGTATGCTTTAAAGCTAACCTTGGCCCTCCACATTTTTTGAGACTCCCAACTCCCATCAACCTCAGCTAGGATGGCCCAGTGATCTGGGATGATGGGAATTGTAGTTCAGCAACATACAGAGTGCTGTTGGTTGGCCATCCCTGCTTTACAAGTAGCAAGAAGGGATGAAGCTGTTGTTTTTCCCCCACCAGAGGTGACATAAGCTCTCCTCTCTGTGTCCATTCATTTCTTGTCCCTCAGCAGTTGCAAACCCACAGTTGTGTCACCTCAAACTAATACATTGTATTTCTTGATGGAGGGAGAGTTCCTTTCTGTTCTTGACTGGCGTTTAGGCTCCTGACCTAGTCTGACAGTGCATGCCCATAGAAAGTCATACTGTGGTCGTGAGTCTTTTGCAAACAGAAGTGGAATCTGAGGTTCTATGCCTGCCTAAATCTTCCTTGCATTTTGGTTGACTTGTAGCTTCCACTGACCAAAATATCTGAAGCTTTACTAAAATGCATTAGGACAAAATAGGGATAGCTGGACCAAAACCTATTTAAGTCCCCCTCCTCTGAACTTTTCAAGCGTGCCTCTCCTGCCTGGTCGGGTAAGGCCATTGAGGAGGGCAGCCTTACAAACACAAAACTTTATATGTAAAGATACTTCATGGAATCCCAGTTTTCTGTTATGGGGGCATGCACATACTCCCTCTCTCACACATATACATGTGCACATACATACATGAGTTTTTTTTAAACTTTAGAATATACTGCTAAAAATAAGAATTGTCATGTGTAACAGACACAAGTATGCTACTGTTCAAGCTTAACGTAATTTCAGCATCATTAAAAAGGTAATCTAATAATACTGGAACATATTCAGGACGATTTTTCATAATTTTGAAATTAGTTTTCACACAACACTGATGGCTAACAGAGTAGTTAAAAAAATAAACAGCGTTAACAAAAAAAGCTTATTGTTCAACAATACAGTGGTACCTCAGGTTAAGTACTTAATTTGTTCTGGAGGTCCGTTCTTAACCTGAAACAGTTCTTAACCTGAAGCACCACTTTAGCTAATGGGGCCTCCTGCTGCCGCTGCGCCACTGGAGCACAATTTCTGTTCTCATCCTGAAGCAAAGTTCTTAACCCGAGGTAATATTTCTGGGTTAGTGGAGTGTGTAACCTGAAGCGTATATAACCCGAGGTACCACTGTATTTATTTCTCTTCAATATTTAAAAACAAACAGCAAGAAGCGCAAATATATAGGAAAGCAAAGGAATATTTATGAAGGACTTGAGCATAATATGAACTTAGTCTTTAACATGTTTGTAAAATCTCTCTAAAACAACTTGAAAATATATAGCCATTTTCTCTTTCAGAAATCCCCCCAAAGCAACTTTAAGCTATGATATAAACAAAGAACAGAACAATACAATATTAAGGTAACGTTCCAATTTTTAAAGCTTTTAAAAAGCGTACTTCAAAGAGTACAAGGCAATTTGACAAGAGAAAAATAAATAGACTAGATTGCTTACTAAGGAAATATAAAAATAGCGAATTGCACTTTCCCTTCTCCAGAAAGTTTAAATTACTTGCTCATATGAACTACAGGGGAAGGAAATAACAAGGCATTGGTGCTGTTTGATTCTAGCAGCCATTACACCAGTCTGCCTTCTCATACCTAGTTCCACAGTGATAAATGGTAACTGGCAAATGGCTGCTGTGCATTCTGCTGCTGCTGCTGCTGCTGAATAACTTGTCTGGAAACCTGTTATCCTTGCTTGCCTGACTTTGTCCCTATGCGGCTTTTTGATGAATATTGGGTTGCTAGTATATACAGAAAAACTGCTTCCGCCTGTCAACCAGAGGTTGTAACCCCATAAGTGTGAGCAGATGGCATCTTCAGGAAACCCTTTAGAGCAGGGGAGGCCAACCCGTGGTTCTTCAAGATGCTGTCAGATTCCAACTCTCATCAAACCCAGGCCAACATGGACAATGGTCAGGGATCATGGGAGTTGTAGTCCCAACATCTGGAGGGCCACGCTTCCCTATCAGTTCCCTAGAATTGCTTGATCCTCATTAAACATGGTTTTCTGCTTTCAACTTAACAGAGTTCTAATGAAGTCTGCATCTCCAGCATTTCACCAACCCCTGAAATACAAAGAGAGAAGCGTCTTGCATTCCAAACGAAGCACAGATGATAGGTCAGACCAGTCGTCTGTGAAATCTACAGACAGCAGCAGTTTCCCCAGCCCCTGTGCCAGTCCTTCTCCTCCGTCATCTGGGAAGGTACAGTAGCTGTTCTTTATCCTGTTTTAAAATTTTGGAAGCTGCTGACTGCTTGCTGAAATAATAAAATCAGACATAGTACTCTGGAACTGACAACATTTTGAATATATCGCTGGTTTGATTTCCTTTTCTGGAGTGCATGGTTTAAGCTCTTTCAGATAAATTTGTATGGCTTATTTCTTTGCCACCTTGAGCCAGGAGTACCCTCTCAGATGTTTTTGTGTCTATATGTAGAGCAGAAACACAAATACCTTGAGAATCATTGAAGAAAATTAAGGGATTGGTAGATCTTAGGCTAAAACAAGAGCCGTAGAAATGTTTAAAACACAGAGTTTTAAAAGAGCTGACTGCTTTTGTATAATCCTGCTCTCTCCTCAATTCAGTTTTGGTTGACTATGGTGCTTGATTCATTCTCCTAAGAGCCAGAAAACCAGCTCTGCTTAGATACCAGAGCTGATTTCATTTGGTAAAATATGACCAGTACATTTATCCTACAAGATTTTTGGGATTCAACAAGAACTGGTCCTAAATGTACAGGCTGCTTCTAGAGACCTATTGACAGCCGATGGCAGAAGGGGCAGAGCTGCTTGGTTGTCCCTAAACTGTAGTTGTGCTAGAGAGCCCAATAACATTCAACTTGATGTATTGCAGCATTGGATTACTACCTTAATTTGCAACGTTTTGTATTTGCATTCCTTTGACATCAAAGATACCAACTATTGAACTACTTTCCACAAGAATGGTATGGTCATACCTTAAAAAATACCTTTAAAGGTAATACCTTAAAAAACCCCACAAGTGTCTAATCATTGACCTGTTTTTCATATAATGCTAAGACAGACCATGGCTTAGTGCAAATGCATGAACATGTAGATTTCTGCAGACAAGATTGCAACTGCAAGGCTCCTCTTCCAGGCATGCTTCTGCCATGGTACTTGGGGCTGAACCTTAGTGTTACCTTCGGATCTGTGGTCATGATTTATCTCTTTCCAGAAAAACCACAAGTTGTACCATGGTTCTTGGTTTACCCCTTAAGGTTTCACTGATGAATTTGAATGTAATACCCAGCCAAAAGATAGCCTATTCCCAGGTAGTGCAGCTGTGGTCTTACTTACTGTTAATTGCTGGGACATTGCTGGGTTGAGTGTGTCCAAACATTACAAAAGGTATCTGTTTTTGCAGGGCTCCAAGTCTCCTTCTCCAAGACCAAATATGCCAGTTCGATACTTCATTATGAAAAGCAGCAACCTGAGAAACCTTGAGATTTCACAGCAGAAGGGGATTTGGTCTACAACCCCAAGTAATGAGCGAAAACTGAACCGAGCCTTTTGGGAGAGCAGTGTTGTTTACTTAGTATTTTCTGTTCAGGGATCGGGACACTTTCAGGTGAGAAATTGATACACTGAAGTTGATGAGTATGTTGCAAAATTGTTACCAGACTATAACAACATCTGCTATATTCACAACATTTACCTTGCTATAATTTGTCCTTTTCCTTCCTCTAGTGATGTAATATAGGCAACTTGTGTGTAGAGTTAATTTCTTAATTTTTCAAGGACCCAAGTTGTGATCTGACAAAGGACTGGCATTTTAATAAGGCTCTGAAACCTACTAGAAACAGGCAACCTCACATGAAAAATGGGGTTGAAATATGTCACCCTGGGAGTGACATATAGAACTAGATCCACAATGTAATCCTCCTAACTTATCTTCATCTTCATGGTAGTAAACAGTATCCTCAAACTTCAGCCACTTAACATTTATTTTTTATTTTTTGTAAACAAAAAGCACCTGCGGCAACTAAGCACCTGAAGAAAAACAGCTGACTCTTACAAATGAATCTTTACCCCAGACAGTACTAAGATTCATGTGGTTTTTCAAGCAAAAAACAACCCAGATAAGCAGCAAAGTGGCCTCCTTCTCCAGCACTACACGTGGCTTTATTGAGGGACATTTTGCCACACCAAAGCATTTGAATTTGGCTTGAAATAGAAAAACAACTTCTAAAACCCTGTTTCTGTTTTATGAATTAATGTATTGAGGTAAAAAAAGAAATGCTGTGGGTTGTTTCAAGCAAAAACTGGTCAGAGAAGCATATTAAAATATTCTCCTGCACACAACACACATGGTTTTATTTTGGATATCCTGCTCCTCCAAGAAATATTAGAAGTCAGCTTGGGATAAAAAGACACCCCATAAACCTATCAGGTTTTTCCCCCTACTAAGCGAGAATAGATGCTATCCAACTAAGCTATTCTTGGAATAAACCTACTGAGATTGATGGACTTCAGTTAATTTATTTCAATGGTCCTACTCTGATTTGGATGTGTTTAATACAGAGTAACACCTGATGTGTTTAATACAGAGTAAAAACTGGTTTTATTTAGATTCTAACATTTTAAATGTGTCGTAGGGCTTTGCTCGAATGTCTTCAGAGATTGGACGTGAGAAGAGTCAGGATTGGGGTTCTGCTGGCTTAGGAGGAGTATTCAAGGTGGAGTGGATCCGGAAAGAAAGTCTTCCTTTTCAGTTTGCTCATCACTTACTCAACCCTTGGAATGACAACAAGAAAGTACAAATAAGTCGAGATGGCCAGGTATGTTGATTTTACAGCTCTGAGTACAAGTATATGCTCTAGGATGGATTACTTGATTCCCTCTGTCTTCATTGTCAAGAATGTCTTGACATAGTTCATTTTTTTAAACCGGTAATGGCCAGTTTTATCTCACTATTTGAAATAACATCAAGATGTAAGAAATTTCCCTGTAGAGTGAAATACGTAACTTCGGCTTTGTAATTGAAGCAGCCTCTACTGAGGCTAGTTGTCATTTCCATGTAGTGGTCTCCTTTTTATAGCCGGGCCTTATAACACCATCACTTTCCCCCCTTCCCTGGTGTAGGAACTGGAACCTCAGGTTGGTGAACAGTTGCTACAGCTCTGGGACCGTATTCCTTTAGGAGAGAAAAATGCGGCTGATTGAAAATACGACGGGCAACTTTTGAGGTATACTCTCCAGATGAGAATGTGAATGAATTTGAAGGTTTTCTAACCCTGTTGGTGAAGCTTAGAGAAAGTAGTAGCTGTTCTCAAGTGGTTATTGATGTAATATTGGATAGATCCACACGTCACTAGATTTTAAGGCTAGGAGAGGGGGAAGTGGAGCTAAAATACTGCACCAGGGTGACAGCTGTGGAGGGAGGATGCAGAGGGAAAGGTCAGTAGAGCAGGCAAGTGAAGCAGAAGATTGCAAGGCCAGCGTAGTAATTTCCTGTGTTTTAAAATGCTCTTCCAGAAAAAGCTTGATGTACAGAGTGGTCACTTGAGAAAATCACATTATCATTTGCCAAAATTAAGCAGAAGTTTTTGTTTGACGAATAAAGACTTAAAACTTTGTCGTTCTCCTCCACAGTTCCACCTCCTGTGAAATAGATAATGTGCTAAGATCACCAGTGCACCTAAAGAAGGAAATGCCTGAGGGAAAATGGGCTGCAGGCATTCAGCAGCACTCCTCTAGCACAGACTAGATTTGATTCTGTGTTCTGGTTTGAAGGAAACAATGTGGACTGCTCTTATTTTCATTGAGAAGTTTGTTCTTTTTCATTCACTTTGAAGTTTCAAATGTTAAGACACCCAAACTCCAAATGGTGGGTCACCAAAGCAGACCAAAGCTGCTGTTTAAATTTTAACCATGTTGTAATTTAAAGCAGTAGGTCTGGGAACAATGAGTAATATTCATCTTGATAGAATCCTGTTCCGACAAGGCTCAAGGGAAAATAAATGGAGGTACAGCTTCGAAGTTGAAAGGGTTGGGAACACCTGCTACTGGACTAAAACTAAAACACTGAGTAGACAAAGCAGTGAAAAGAACCTCCTCCCCTCAGATTAAATCCAATTTAAATGATGAGTGCCTTTTGTCAGAAAGCTGGCTTTGGGGTGTTTTAATTTTGACTTTATTCTGTGTCCATTATGTGCTTGCAGAAATGGGCATGGATTTCCTAATTCTTTGCTCGTAGCAGGTGCATCAGGAACAGCCTCTTCACTTTTGACGGAAAGGTATCTTTAAGGAACCATTTTGTTTTGATTAGCCTTCCTCTTAAAACAATCACCAGCAACTTTTTTCTCCTTCCCAAAATTGCCTACAAGTTCCTTGTAGTGTGCCCTTTTGATTTTCTTTTTCAATTGCCATATTTCTTTTGAATTGATTTGTCTAAATAGCTCCCTCCTACATTGTGCAAATATATAATCTGTTGTACTTTGCTTGTACAGCCCCCCACTCAATCTCTTTCCTGTAGTTTCATTTTTTAAAAGCACGATGGCCAGATCAGCTTTTCTGCAGAGCATTTGAACAGGGATGGTTTAATTACTGAGCAGTCTTCTAAGTTAAGAATGTTTAAAAGGCAATTATTTGCCACAAACCACTAATAAAAGGATAAAACTACAGTGGAGTAGCTTTTACATGAATTTGGGATTTGAATTTCTTGGCTTTGCATTTCATTGTTAAGGGTTTTTTACATTTTCATGTATAGATTGACTTATTTGTGATTCTTGAGCATGTGTAATTGAGTTCCTCTGTACATCTCGTCGCATTTTCTTGTTAATTTTTACTAACTAATGCCAGTCATTTACCAGTTTACCAGTTTTAAGTTGGAAATAAGATGTATTTAGAATAAAGCCATTTTGTTTTTAGCTGATTGGTGTTTTGGAGCAATTTCTACCACAGAGAGTAACCTGTTATCAAAGCACTATATCTACCAAGAATTAGTTCTTCACATCTGATTGTTAAATTGCATTCATTGTCAGGTTGTATATAGCAACAATAATGATTCTGTTCCAGTTCTTCTTCAGGTACCATTGATATACAAACTGCAGTAACCTAATATAGCTTAAAAAGGAAATTAGGAAGAAGGCTGTCTTACATGTTTCTTCTAAATGTCTTCAAGATCAGGATTCAGATGCAGCTACTCTCGGGTACAAAGGAAATGTGATCAGTTACATGCTTTTTTGCTATAGGCTAGATATTTCTAAAGCACAAAATAATAATAAGTTATATGAAAATATAGTGTCAGCATGGTTGGGTTGTATGTACATTCCTCCCCTAAATAAAGTTTATATGCACACAGGTCTATTATTCCTGTTAGTGAATTTCATCGACTTCTAAAAAGCTGAATAATCTTTTTCATAGTACGACTTAATTCTGCGTAAGCTTAAAGGGTCCTCCTTTCCTAGTCACTGCTGCAGGGTTAAGCAGTCACTACGTTCTGGACTGATAGTTCACTGTTCATTTGTCTTTCCTTATCTACCTGGGCCTTTTAATCAAAATGAAAGGTGAGTAGCCGGTGGAGAATATGGTTCCTATGATGTCTGCTCTGCTCTGGAACCGAGGTGTGTGCTCATAAATAAAGTAGCTATAGTGCTGAAAACTAGGGGAGTATGGTAGGTAAAGACAAAGCTGTTTCCAAGTGTTTGGAAATCAAGATATTTCTTCCTGTGTGTACATATCAAGTTGCTATATGTCCTTTTACTGTCCATATGTATTTTTATGGGTTGGCCTGTCTAAATCTCAAAATCCAAAAGTTCCTGATTCCTTTCATAGCCAGCCCTCTTACTTTGCATGCATTACAGTCAAAATGGGTCACAACAAAGAGTGATAAAATATGAATGTATCAATGAAGCGCTCTCTTCTCTAGCTCCATATACAGTGGTACCTCGGGTTAAGAACTTAATTCATTCTGGAGGTCCGTTCTTAACCTAAAACTGTTCTTAACCTGAGGTACCACTTTAGCTAATGGGGCCTCCCACTGCCGCTGCACTACCGCTGTGCGATTTCTGTTCTCATTCTGAAGCAAAGTTCTTAACCCGAGGTACTATTTCTGGGTTAGCGGAGTCTGTAACCTGAAGCGTCTGTAACCCGAGGTACCACTATAAAGAACAAACAGTTTAATAATAACAAATGTATAGTTGAAAAGTGCTGAGGCTTAGGTAGTGGAGCTAGCAGAGCTCTCCAATGACAATGAAAACAGCAAAAGCATGATCTGTTTTGAAGAGCTGTGGCAGGAGGTAAGAGGCTCAAGGATTACAAGCGGGAACTTCAGTGAAAAATACCTGATCTAGGTGGTATGTGGCAGTTAACAGACTATCCTGCTTTGCTCATTTAATAACCTTGCCTTGTCAACAGCCTTCTTTTCTTTTCTTTATATTTATTAAATTTGTATACCGCCCTTCATCCATAGATCTTTGGGCAACTCACAACATAAAAAATGCAATATAAAAAACACAAAATATATAATAAAAATAAGAACCAAAACAAACCCTTCCCTCAACACATTTAAAAGGGTATTGGATGTTAATCAGCGAAAGGCCTGGTTGAAGAAAAACGTTTTTGCCTACAATGCTTCTGGCCTTTTATAATTCTCGGATAGGGGACTGAGATTTTGGGCAGCTTCAACTGCCAGGGAGCCTCCTTTACGTGCATGGAACTTTTTTCTCAAAATCAGTTTTTACTCTGAGAGCCAGTGTGGTGTAGTGGTTAAGAGCGGTAGTCTCGTAATCTGGGAAACCGGGTTCGCGTCTCTGCTCCTCCACATGCAGCTGCTGGGTGACCTTGGGCCAGTCACACTTCTCTGAAGTCTCTCAGCCCCACTCACCTCACAGAGTGTTTGTTGTAGGGGAGGAAGGGAAAGGAGAATGTTAGCCGCTTTGAGACTCCTTAAAGGGAGTGAAAGGCGGGATATCAAATCCAGACTCCTCCTCCTCCTCTTCTTCTTCTTCTTCTTCTTCTTCTTCTTCTTCTTCTTCTTCTCTTTTCCGATTTGAAAATTAAAAAACCCTTCTCCCAAAGCTACTTTTCAAGCTGTGATACATCCATGGCTGGCCCAAGCCCTTGAGGCTTCTTATACAGGAAAGCATGTTTGCTTTTTTGTTCCTGCAAGCCATTCTGGAAATGCCCCTAGGTTTAATGCTGGGTGGCAACTTCTCTTGGAAGTAATTGAAGCCCTCCTCCTTTTTTCTGACCCTGTTTATGAGGAGAAATGAAAAAACAACAACAACCTTTTGTACAGTAATGCGGAATACAAATACCCTTCTTATGGCACTATTGCACATTTGTAAAGTCCTTTTGCACTGGCAGCCAGTCTTGGTATTTATTTGCTTTTTTGAGTGATTCTGTTGCCTGCTCTTTGCATTCTTTGGAAGGTTCTAGAATATACCAACACATTTCTAAAGCAGAAGCATTCACTCCATCTTGGGATGCCAATATTTGGGAATATATCGCACTCCAGTCAATCTGCTTAATTTGGGGGAGAGAGCATCTGTATGATCTTAAGCAATTGGTTAGTTATACAGAAGTTGGATGAAATAGGATCATTGGGGTCTCTGTCTTTTAGTGGTGGTCTTCATTGTACTTTGTTCAGTCAGCGTGGAGCCAGCATTATGTATATTTGTACAAAAGCAAGACCCATGAAGTTAAATAGGATTAACTCCCAGCAAAGCGTGTTTAGGATTGCAGTCTTTGACACTGGAAAACTACCGTTGACAAAGCTAAAGGACAGAATGTATTCCACAGTAAAGCTACAAATCTGACTTGCCTCCATGTATGTGTGTGTGTGTGTGTGTGTGTGTGTGTAGGGGCTTACCCACTCAGACCAATATTCTGCTAAATTAAGATGTGCAGATATGATACAAACTTAAAGAAACATTCCCCAGTTGGTAATGTTCTGAAGTCCTAGAAGCATCTGTGAACCTTTGTTTCAACTCCGCAACATGGTTAGATCCTTGATGTAGTGCAGAAAATATTAGTGTTGTGCTAGGTGGTGCTATTGTATAAATTTTTAAAATAGGGAATGCCCTTTTCACATGAAAAAAAAAGGGACTACCTCCTTCAGTCTCTCTCCTCCCTGGTTATTTGGGATGTTCCCTGACACAAATGATATTTGTACAAAGAGAAACATTATTTATGGTCCACTGACTACAAATATATAAGAAGCAAAGCACCCGTTGTGAGGTGAATGTGAACCTGTATATGGTCCTATAAGCTTTAAGGAACCCTGAAGGATATAGCATATCTGCGTAGACATTGCATCCTCCCGCAGGATCCCTGTCAGTGTGGGCTGGGGCACCCAGAGCCAAAGTTAGGCCCCAGATTCTGCCCTTCCCTTGATAGTGTTTCTAAACATAGCTCAAATCCTCTCCACAGAGGCTTGCCCTTCCCATAATAAGCAAAGCTCCATTCTGTGCTCCCACTTTAGCCCTATTGATTGGTCCTCCCTGTTCTTTAATCCAGAGGATTCTTGGAGTGGCTTATAACAAGATTTGAAACGTGTAACAATAAAAAACCAAAACCCCAACAAAACAGCATACCCAGCAAAAAGCAGAACTGAAAATCACAAATGTAAAAGGCCTGGGGAAATAAAAAAGGGATTGCCTGCCACCAAAACGTTGTCAAACTTGATGTCTGGCAAACTCCAAACCTTTTGGAGGTCCTTAGCTGGTACAACATGCATGAAGGGGATCTGTCTCTGGTCATCACCTGCCTTGCTTCAGTGCGGATGGGATTCAGAAAGGTCCTCTGAGATGAATCTTAATTCATGAGAAGGCTTGCGAGGAAAGGCATTCATTCAGTTATTCCACTTTGACAGGATAAGGCAACTAGTTTTTTATATAGTTGGTAGGGATTTTCATTGTGAAAACCACCTTCAGCCTCCATGATAGATACTCGGATATTAACATCCTTAAAGGGCTATTGTAGTTTGAACTGCGCAAATGCTCTGGAGGAACTCAAAAGGTTTGAAGACCTCGTACCAATTTATGCCATTGGTTCATCTGGGTGTTTTCCTGGTTTTTCAACTATCCCATCCCTATGGAGGTGGCAGACATTGAACCATAGCCCTATCACTGACCTATGGGAACACACTAACTGAGGAGTGTTTGGGAATCTAGCAAAGAATCAACCTGTCTTTGCCACACAGTCAGCCTTGAGTGTGTCAGTTATTTCCAGCTTACCGTATTTATGAGTATGAAATGTGCACCTTTTTTGGCCAAATTGCGTCACAAAAATTAGGGTGTGCATTAGATTTGATGGCGCATTTACATTCACCAGCAAATACTTTTTTTGGTTTCAAGGTTTTGAAAAATGAGGTGCATATTAGATTTGATGGTTCATTGTTGTTGTTTATTCGTTTAGTCGTGTCCGACTCTTCATGACCCCATGGACCAGAGCATGCCAGGCACTTCTGTCTTCCACTGCCTCCCGCAGTTTGGTCAGACTCATGCCGGTAGCTTCGAGAACATTATCCAACCATCTCATCCTCTGTCGTCCCCTTCTCCTTGTGCCCTCCATCTTTCCCAACATCAGGGTCTTTTCCAGGGAGTCTGCTCTTCTCATGAGGTGGCCAAAGTATTGGAGCCTGAGCTTCACGTGTGTGTGTGTGATGGCGCATTAGATTTGTGTAAATACAGAAATTTGCACCCATTGCTTAATTTGCCTCAATTGAAGTCAGAGGGACATAGAGGTGCTCAGTTGTGGCTACCCACTCAGTTGTGGGTGGGGGGCTCATATAAACTTAAATGCAAAAAGTTGTGGAAATACTACTACATTTTTCCTGCAATATAATATACACTACAGTAGTACCGTACCTCCAGTTATGTAACCCTCTGGTTACATAAACTTCAGGATGCAAAAGCAGGAAACCCGGAAGTATTTTACCAGGTTTGGTTGCGCGTGCATGCGCAGAAGCGATCCTCGGGTTGCGGAAACCTCGGGATCTGACCGGACCTCCAGAACGGATCCCGTCCACAACCGGAGGTACCACTGTATATGATGACATCACTTACAAGCGGCTCATGTTCCCATCCATTGCCCCTGTACTTAATCTCTTGGGAAATTAGCTTGATAAGATGGAATCACACAATGTGTTTGAACAAAGGATTTGAAACTGGCATAAAGGTAGGCATTGCTTCAATGTGCAAGAGGTGAATACACAACCAAAAAATTTTGACCACAGAAGTCAAGAAAGTATAAATATAGCATATAATCAAAAGAACTGGTTGAGTTACATCCTTGCAGCATAGCTGTTATCACAGATGGTTAACTGCACATGCCCAAACCATTGGTGGGGGGTAGATATTTTGCTGCAACTTCAGACAGTGCTAAAGTAGCTTTATCTATCAGCTCTAGCAGGTGTGTTCGTTGTTCCTTATCTGGAAAGGCCAGTAGTGTTGTATAAAGGGTGTTTATTTGTTCAAACCATTCTCTCTCCACATACACACACAAAGAGATTAATGGATGTTTGATAAAAGAGTGGTCACCCAAGCCATAAAAGTATATGATAGTCCTTTCTTCTGGCAGGATACCCTGTGAAGGAATGTTTTTCAAATTGCAGTAGTCCTTAAATGGACAGTATTGTAATATGCAGGAATAACCAAAGACGGTGAAGGAAAATGCAATCTAGGTTTGAAGCATTCAGACTCTTGGCATGTTTCTGTTTCTCCATGATGTTAGAGTCTTAATCCTCCCCAAAATAGACCCTTATCAATAAAGAAGCTCTGCTCTGCAAATTCTCTTCAATTTACAGTTCAGCTGAGGCAGCAGATAGTTTGAAAGTCAAAAGGCAGACCCTTGGCTTCACAGTGCCATTTATCTCTGAAAATCAGCAATGTGAAAATTTACTATTTCAATGGGGCAATCTACTGTCAATTATTTGGACAAAAAGTGCATTGTCTGTGCTTGTTGTTGGGAATCCAAAAGCAGAAAAGTCAGGGGAAGGAGCCAAAACCCCCGAAGAAAGCAGCATGCAAACTAGTTTCACTAAATCCAAGGGCAAAAATAATGCGTCAGCATTCTGTGAGAATTAAGGCGTGATCTACTGTTTATGGAAAATATGTTCTAGTTAGAAATGCACAAATTGTCCACTAATCATAAAGATGAACTGCTTTTGTCAGGTATCTGATCTATTGGAACATATCTGCTTTTTTAAAAAAAATACATATTCATTTATACAGCAATTTTAATAGGGTTCCCCTCCCCTGTCTTCTGTACGTGTATATAAAACAGTGTTGTGGCAGGTTTAGTATGAAACTGACACAAATAAATTGAATCCATTATCCTAAACATTATTAATTGCATGAAAGTGGACCTTTCTGATTCGCTGTCTGTGATGTCATATTTGCTTCAGTTAAAGCCAACAAGTGGATGGGTATAGCAGCCTGGTGCTATTGAAATTCTCCTGTCAGCCTGAATTTTAAGCTCTCCCAAGTTT